CGCCCGTAAACATTGGTCCTTGTTTAATCACCGTAATGCCGCCATGCATCTGCGCTCGGTTTTCGAGCCTGCCTCTTACCGTTACCTTTCGTCTGCCATTCTGAGACTACGACACCCTTTACCATTGTACCCTTTACCTTCTCACTGCCATGAAGTTTTACTTCTTTTTTCCGAGCACCTCCCACTATTTATGATATTATCTAATCACTTCTGCCGACTCATTCTATCCACTTGCTTCGTATCTTTTGGTGTTGCCGGACCCGACTCGTTCTATCCACTTGCTTCGTATCTTTTGGTGTTGCCGGACGCTAATTCCGGTACCGCGCTTCGTCTGCTTCGTATCTTGGTGTTTCCACACGCACCGGACTCCGGTTCCGGTACCGCGCTTGGTCGTCCTGTGCACCGCAGTGCCGCGGGGGTATCGCTCGAGCGCGCGCAGCAAACCGCGCCGCGGCAACTCCGGCGCTGGTGCGGCCGCCCTCAGCGCTGCCGTGTCGCAGTGTCACTCTGGCCTGGTGGCGCGCTTCTCCCTCAGGGGAGCTGATAAAGTTCTATTGCTTATTGGTCTGTCGAGTTGCCTATGGGGCTTCTTCATTCTGCTCATGAAGGTCACTTTTTAACACTTTCTTGATCTATCACGTTCACAATTTTTGTTAGAAATAAATGTATGCAACAGCCAACAGATAACTTATTTTTACGCTTAGGCCTGATGATTACTCACTTCTCCTCACATCTTATAGGACTTATATCGCAGCTAGTATGAACACTCACTAAAATTTAGACTTCTTCTAAGGTTCGATCGTTTAAAAGATGGGCTTGTAAGACCTTCTTAATTGTCTTGAGATGGCTCCTATTCTGTGAAGGAATTTAATTGTTAGATGGCGCGCTGTGGCTCGAGGACTCGTTCGGTTAGGTGGCTAGCAAGTCTTTCTTCGCAAAATGATGAATTTGCTTCAGCAACAAACAGGTTGTTGGCATAGTTTGCTGACGTTGAAGCTATGTTTATTCTTCTTTCGACTGATGGTTTTCTTCGTTGATGTATTTTAATCTTTAAGTTTCTGTTATCTCAGCTGGTGAAAACTTATGAAATTAGGATTGGTATTTTTACTACGTCCGTAGTATCTCTACCGTATTGGAGAGCATTTAAGGAGAATTTGTCGAGCATTTTAGATCTAGTCTTTCGGGATTGTTCTTCCTTTCATGTTATTTATTCATTGCTATTCTGGTGGACTCAATCTGTGGAATCTCTCATCTTCATCTTTTGGAATATGCCGTCTCGTTGTCACATTTACTTATCTAATAACTCAGTGAGTCTCGCAAATAATTTATTCTGCACTTCAATAAAATGCCATTCTTCTCAAAGTGCTCATTCTTACATCGTACTCTGTCATGTCTGTACCCTCACTGACCTCTTAGTGCTCACTGCTATAACGTAATCTACAAGGTAATAACTAACGGCTTTCCGTGACGTTATATTATCCTACTAACGTTTAAAATCTCAGCCCAACTCTCGTCCGCCACTCTTTTTTTCCGCTACTTCCTCTTACAACTTTTTCTTCGCTGCTTCCTCTTCCACCTCTCGTTCTATCACTCCTCTTTCAACGGGCCTTCCTTCTTGCCTGGACCGTTCTCACCTACGGGCGTTTCGATCGACTGCAGCCACGGTCCCTGCCGCAGCTCTCGAGTTTCCCGGTAAAGTACTTGAGCCTTTCTTTGTCTTAACTTCCTGTGTGGTTCTCGCTGATGAGTTTCTTGATGAGTTGCCGGGCTTCAACTCCGATGTTGCCTAATATTTTAGTGTGCATAATGATCCTGGATCTCCCTATGCGCAGAGCTTTTCAACTGCCCTAGTGGCGTGCTGTTTGGGACACGACTGCCTAGTGTGGTGGTGCTTGTGTCGTACCGGTAATTCTGATATACCGTTTCAGTGTGTGTAACGCTTCACAGTTCACGTGCTTCACATTATTGCTGCTTAGGACTGCTTATATATATCTTGAACAGCGCAGTTATCGTCTCACTCCTTATGTACGGTGTGGAAATTCGTTCCTTACAGCGGTTTCTGAGCACCTCCTCGGTTGCTAAGCATACAATACCCCTGCAAAAAATTAAATATATTATATCGAGAGCTTATCACTTACAATAAATCAAAACTTTTTCCTCATCGACACCTAGAACTATAAAACGTTGTTCCAGTTCAACCCTGACCCCCCATCCACATGGATACACGGCGGCGCTTATAGCGCACTCTTCAGAGCACAAGGTGTCGGCAGTAGGAATCAGTTGTGGGGGTAGAGCTGCTGGGTCAAGTGGAATGAAGCAGTTTTAGAGACATCGCTGCTTTTGCTGTGCTCATTGTCTGTTGGGTAGAATTTTTTAGGCTCTCTGCTGATTATATTTATTCCTGGTGACATGTTGCCGACCCGGTGAGTCGTGATGTTGATACATCTGATTGAGTTGTGAGTTAACCCCTGACACATAAAGTTTGATAGATATGTAATTAAATATGTTGAAGCTCATTCTCTGTCATATTGGGGTAGATTTTGATAGTCTCATTGCTTCTCCAGCAAATCGAAACTTATTTGACATAAATACAACACCATTAATTTCGCGATATTTTCTAAATAGCCATTTATTAGTTTTATTATTTTTTGTGAATGTCTTCAGGTCTATGAGTCCTAGTAATGTTTAAGTTATTGGAATAATCAACAGGAACATAAACCTTAGTTTACCCATGACGTGCCTAACTACTGTAGGTTTTAACATAATCAATTACATAGTTACTCGGGCGAGTAATAGCTACGCAAAATTATTACAGTTACTTACAAGCTCGTGTGTGAGTACCGTACGATATTAATGTGTAGGTGCCAAGTTAGCATTAGTATCGTGGATACTTTTAAAAATATTACTTTATATTTATTAAAAACCCACCGCACCACTGATACCTGAAATCGATATAATTGCTTTTGGACCTACTAGAAAAAATAGAAATTGTGGCGTCAATCATATCTGCCATTCTGTTTGACTAACATTTCGTAGCTTAAAAGATAAAATTCGTTACTGAGGGAAATAAGTGGTACTTTAGCACCAACTCGATTGATTGTATCGAGTCTCGTTCAGTGCGCACCAAGTAAAGAGCAACTTGCTCTTGCCTATGACCGATGCAAGACAATTCGCTGAGTTATTGAACCAAGGAACCGTTTAATGCTTGTGCTTGGACTCGAGTGGTTTTCATCATCAGCGAACATTTTCTGACTGCGCGATTAAAGATTATAAAGCAATTATCGCACCACATGTAAGACGTTACATGCTTCCATCAATCACAGATCTTACATATTATCAATCTTTCATTGCAAATCTTTTTTACGCGTCAGGTTACGGCAAATGAACCTGCTCGTTAGTGTAAATTGAATGAACATGAAAGGCATTCAACATTCAGTGGTCGAAGCCAACAGGCAATTCAACGAGAACATTGAGTACAATTATTGCTCCACTAGGGATCTGAGTTTACTAACGATGGAAAGCTTACCGCACGTCATTTTTATTTGCTTAACTCTAAGAACAAGTAAATCCGCGTAGCTCTATGCCGATTAATTGCTGTTTCTGCACTGTTAGAAAAAATACCGTTAACGGTATTACCGGCGTTTCAGTGGCCGGTCGGCACGTGAAAAGAAACACCGTGTCGCCGTTTTTATTCTAGTTTAACACTAGAAATCCGTAAAACAACTGATTAAAACGGCGAAACCGTTTATTTTCACGGGGCGACCGGCCACTAGAACGCCAGTGGGACCGTTTTTTCGCCGTTTTTTCTAACAGTGTGTCAAGCCAACAACCCATGCTATGTAACGATCGACCTAATTGAGTGGTGAACCGTTTGGAGAAGCGATGGTATGCTTTATTTAAACCACATTTTCACGGTTCTCCTTGCTGCTTAGCTCTCGTCCGGGTTCTTTCTTACGATTTCCGCTTCGGTTGTTTTATTATCCGTTTATTTCTTTTTCAGTTCAGTGATGATAGTTGTGTTGGTAAGGAGAGTAGAATGGGTCCATGGCATTTGTTGTCAGGAAATGTGTTCCTTGAGTTACGTTGAAATCTTGCACAATGTGGACGCGCCTAGATTTTTATTTTAGCTTAATTTTGCCGAGAAGCTCCTTGCCACTAACTGTGAATGTTAGAATGAAATCTCGTCGCGTTTTGTACACGATTTGTCCGTTTGTAACTTGTTCGATCTTGGAACATTCCTTAGCAAATTTTAGTTAGATTCGGCTATTTTACTTTTGTTCCATAACTCTGCGATTTTTTATGTAGCAACTCTAAAAATATCTTTTTTTTCTATTAATCCATGTTCCATCGATTTATCTGCATGCATGTTTGAACTCGTAACCTAGTGCATGTCGTGAAACTTGAACTTCTCACAGTTTGAATGTGCAGCGTATTTAATACACCGAATATTCTAGTAGAACAACTCGGCATTATCAATGCTCATCATTTTGGGTCCCTTTCTACCAATGAAAGATTCACTGTGTGGCCGTTCTATCAAAACTCGATCGATGTGTTTAGCTTAAGAAGCAGTGAGTAATTGGCTGACGGAGTTGCGTACTCGGAACTATTTTTGATAGTACGGCCAACTGACTGGATCTTTGTGTGAACGTTGAGGCTTGTCACTGCTCTGTCTCTACCTTGTCTGCTAGAAGTTCGCCGAGTCCAACCTTGGCAAACTTGCTAATAATTTTTTTAATCTGACTGCAAATTTTACTGCAGTTTAACTTTGATTCGCTATATCCGATATCTCAAATTTATAGCTTATTACTTTTTTTTAGTCTCGAAAGCGTGATGATGTTTTGCGTGAATCCTCCTTGATTTAAATGTGTTATATTTGAAGCATTATACGAATCGGATCGAAATACGAAAATAAAAGGATGCCTCTGATTTTTTTTTCAAAATTTTATGATTTTTAATTTTCGTTGAACCCTTGTGTCATAATTTGTTGCTCGTTTCGGCAGTACACGGCGAGCGGCCCACGTCGCAGATGTCGTTCCTAGAACAGTTCCTGAAGGAGACGTCGCTGAAGAACACGCCCGCCTCCATGGCCGCCGCAGCAGCGGCCACTGCGACAGGCAGCAGCAGCGTCGGCAGCGAAGAGGGCGACGACACTCAAGCCCAGTCTTCTTCTGTGCCTTCACTCAACTCCCGCACCTCGTACATCAGTCAGGTACACTCAACTCCCGCACCTCGTTCATCAGTCAGGTACACTCAACTCCCGCACCTCGTACATCAGTCAGGTACTCTCAACTCCTGCACCTCGTACATCAGTCAGGTACTCTCAACTCCCGCACCTCGTACATCAGCCAGGTACACTCAACTCCCGCACCTCGTACATCAGTCAGGTACACTCCCGCACCTCGTACATCAGTCAGGTACAGAGATGCTGCGTCTTCCTCCACCAGGAAGTCGTCTTATCTTCGTTAAATAGATCGGAGAAATAGTGACAGAAACAACGGTTCCTATTCTGTTTTGTCTCTTCGATATTTCGCTAGTATAACGTTGGTGATCTGAAATGGCGTTGATCTGAATCTGAATGGCGTTGATTTTTGCTTGATTATCGTTTGATAAGTTTCTTATTTGAGTTATTGAAAAAAGAAAACTTTATAAACATCATATAACTTTTTTAAAATAAAATATATTAGTCTTGGGATAAGACTTGATGTAATTACTATGCTACTTATTGCTAATTTTTAGTTACTACATAATTAGTATAAAATGCATTAGTATATTTGTGAAAATTTTCAAGTTGGCTTCACCGATGCCCCTCAATCTTTAAGGAAAAATATAATCTTGATTATATTTTTATTGATATTATATAATATTATATATGTATTATATAATACATGTATATTGTTTATTTATATATTCTAAAATGTATATTTTGATTATATTATATTTGATTATATAAATATAATCGAGAACTTTTCTCGCCGCTGAAAAATCTATATGAAACTTACTGTATTTCAATAAGGCTCATCTATAAAACTTGCTGACTGTCAATAAGGATCATTTTGTCTTGTGCATTATTATAAAATGTATTCTTTTATTATATTATATTTGATTATTTAAATAGCCGTTGAACACCTATATGAAACTTACTGAATGTCAATAAAGATCATCTTATGGTGTGCAGGAACAATCATCCCCGGGTAACCTGGAGCTGAGGCCTCTCCCTCCGCTGCCGAACAACCCTCCGCCCTACCAGCTACTGAACGCTCAGGGCAGCAACGTGCCCTACCACATGCTCAGCGCCCAGCAGCAGCAGGCGCTCAATATGGGTGAGCAATAGCATAATAACACCGTCAATGACACTCGAAATATGGGTGGGCAATACCGTAGTATTACCGGTGATGACACTTGAAATATGGGTGGGCAATACCGTAGTATTACCGGTGATGACACTCGAAATATGGGTGGGCAATACCGTAGTATTACCGGTGATGACACTTGAAATATGGGTGAGCAATAGCATAGTATTACCGGTAATAACACTTTAAATAACTCCTCAACTGAGAGACTTCAAAATATGGATGAACACTACCGTAACGTAGCCGGTAATGACATTTGAAATAACTCCACAATCGAGAAACATCAATATCTGCAAGCGACTGAAATCTTTCCTATCTCTGTCTCGTTGGTGTTTATATTGTAACATGAAGCAACTGCCTCGTATTTAGGGGCCATACTTTCAAAGTTCGCTAAGTGAACGTAAGTACTTACGCTCTATTTTCTTGTATATGATTGGTGGATTTTGCTTGAAAGGCCGTCAATGATTGGCTGATGAACTTACGATCTCTTAACTTTTTTTGAAAGTATGGGCCCAGGACAGCTTTTCATTTTCTCGCTCTGCCTAGCGATAGCTGATAGTGCTTATTTATTAACACTGCCTTGCGCTTATCTATTGTCCACAGGCTTTCAGCTTTATCGATAGAATGAAGTATTTTGACTGCACATTATTTTGTATTTGTGGTGAACAATTTTTAATTCAATTGCCTACGCTTCTTGAATTCCTATAAAATATAATTGCTTTTTGTAACTAGTGTGTTCTGATCTTATTTTACCAACTTGTTGCCATTGCTCAGTTAAACCTATTGTTGAAAATCAGCCTTGAGACTGATGTTACTCGATGTAAGATTAACTTTGATGTGGCTCATAAATTTTAGTATTATTTTATATAGGAGTAAAATCTATTCATGACATTTAGTTGTTCATATATTATTTAAAATCTATTCACGACATGTAGATGTTCACATAACACAAATTTACTGATATTTCAGCAATGAAACCTATTATTTAAATTCAGACTTGAGACTGATGTGGCTCGAGGTAAGATTAGCATTGATGTTGCTAATAAATTCTGATATTATTTTATATGGGAGTAGAATCTATTCATGACATGTAGATGTTCGAGTTAATTCGTTTTATTTATTTCAGAACTTCATCTAATAATCCGGACTTTCTGTGGTAATAATACTGACACAAATTAATTAATATTCCAGCGAAACAACAGCAGCAGCAGCAAGGATGACATGTAGATCTTCATATGACATAAATTTATTAATATTTCAGCGAAACAATAGCAGCAACAGCAGCAAGGATGACATGTAGTTGTTCATATGGCATAAATTTATTAATATTGCAGCGAAACAACAGCAGCAGCAGCAGCAAGGAAGACATGTAGTTGTTCATATGACATAAATTTATTAATATTTCAGCGAAACAATAGCAGCAGCAGCAGCAAGGAAGACATGTAGTTGTTCATATGGCATAAATTTATTAATATTTCAGCGAAACAACAGCAGCAACAGCAAGGAAGACATGTAGATCTTCATATAACGTAAATTCATCAATATTTCAGCGAAACAAAAGCAGCAACAGCAGCAAGGAAGACATGTAGTTGTTCATATGGCACAAATTTATTAATATTTCAGCAAAACAACAGCAACAACAGCAAGGAAGACATGTAGATCTTCATATGACATAAATTCATCAATATTTCAGCGAAACAGCAGCAGCAGCAGCAGCAAGGAGGTGCGGGCATGAAGGTACATCAGTTTGTGGTGCGCAGCTTCGGCGACCCCGTCAAGTGCTTCCACTGCACCTCCCTCATGGTGGGCCTCACAAGACAGGGCGTCGTCTGTGAGGTCTGTGGCTTCGTCTGCCACACCAACTGCAAGGAGAAGGTGCCACCCGCCTGTCCCGTGCCACCTGATCAGAGTGAGTACTAGAGCTGCCACCGTGCCACCTGATCAGAGTGAGTACTAGAGCTGCCACCGTGCCACCTGAGCAGAGTGAGTACTAGAGCTGCCACCGTGCCTCCTGATCAGAGTGAGTACTAGAGCTGCCATCTGCCTGTCCCTGCCACCTGGTAGTAGGGAGATTTGTAGATGTCACAAGACTTTTTTTATCACCTCATCAAGCTGATGCAGTGCATCTTAGATTTCGTCATCGCAGTAGCGAGATTTCATCTTACATTATTTTCTTTGATTTACTTTCTAGAATGTTACCTTCCTTGATTTTATCTGCCACGTGTGAGCGTAATTTTTCATTATATTTTTCAAACTTCTGCTATGTAATTTTGTAAATTGTACTATGTAAGATTTTGTAACTGATCTTTTTAATTGATTACAGCGAAGCGGCCGCTGGGCATCGATCCAACCCGCGGCATCGGCACCGCCTACGAAGGCTTCGTCAAGGTGCCTAAACCGGGCGGTGTCAAGAAAGGCTGGCAGCGGCAGTTTGTGGTGGTCTGCGATTTTAAACTTTTTCTCTATGACATCTCGCCTGACCGGTAAGCCATCCAGCTCTTAGTTCTAATTCATTTCTTAAGAAACTATTATAGTTTCCGTCAGAAAAGTATATTAGTTTATTATTTTCAAAATATGGAATGATGAACTAGGATTAGGATTCAGTTATGATGTGTCCGTTATTATGATTGAGTGTTATGTCTGTGCATCCAACAACCTCTGATTGGAATGTGCTCAAATCGATGGAAATATTGCCTGTGGCATTGTATAAATGATGTCTCTGTCCGCCTTGAAGTCAATAAAATTAAATTTTCTGTCTCTTAAATGTCAGTATTATAGTGTAATGCGGCAGTCGAATCTTTGTGTATTGTAAATTGTAGTCCTAGATAAACTGCTGATGCATGAAGGCATTTTAATCTTCCACGTTTTCAACAATATTTCTAAATTATTTGTGATGAGCTTCGCATAGCTCATCCGAAACAGTAACTAGCTCCTGACCAGTGTCTGCGATGGCATAAGTTCCTTGTGGATGCCAGTGACAGTTTCTCAGTGACAATTCACGGCTTAATTACTGACAAAATTCGTTCACTGGTATGTTTGAATCGAAGCTTTAGAAAAGAAAACGATTTGTACGTTATTTTACGAATCTACCTTTAATTGCTTGCTTAATATTGAAGTAAAATTTTTACAGCTTTTCAACTATTATCAGATAACTCCTTCATTTTACATGAAGATCGTTGTCAGGGTTCCAGTGTAAAAGTAGCTGACAGATTAAATCATTGCGGCGAACTCCGGGGGTTGTAGTAATAATCCGGACTTTCTGTAGTAATAATCCAGACTTTCTGTAGTAATAATCTCTGAGTTTTCCATATAATTCCATTCGTTCATTGTGAGCAGGAATGCCGTGGCGAGCGTGTGGGTGTCGTCAGTGCTCGACATGAGGGATGATCAGTTCGACGTAACCAAAGTTAAAGACTCCGATGTCATTCACGCTAATAAGAAGGATATCCCGTGCATATTTAGGGTGAGTACCGCGACCTGATATGCATATGAATAGACTATCATTCATCAAGCGATGCTCTCTTGTTTAACTTGGAACAGGATACGTGTTAATAGGCTGTTTGATGCGCCGTTCCGATATCGCTCTTAAACTCGTACTACCTATAAAATTATTAAAGCATTCGTCGGTGAACTTAAAGTTGCTCAAAGACAAAATATTTGTGATGTTTAACTTGCAGATTACAACGTTGTCCATGGTTAGCGTGTTAGGAGCGCCGTTGCACTATATCGCTCTTAAACTCGTATTACTTATAATATTATTATAGTATTATTATAGTATAGTATATAGTATAGGTATAGTAGTAGTTTAGTATTATAGTATAGTATAAATATATTAGTATAGGTAGTATAGCGGTCATCGACCCTGACAGAATATTATTGGGTGCAGAGGAAGGACTTTTCTGCCTCGACCTTCATGCTGCAGGTGAAGTCACTTTCTTAACGCTTTCATTTCGTTCATATTACTATCATCGTTAATCTTAATTTCTTTCAATTTTATCATTTCTACGCTTAGGTTAAATTCTTTTATCGTTTTAGTGCTATTATTTTCACGTCGTACAGAATATCTCAACTCAATTGTTACCAGAAGAGAGCATTAAAAGTTTATGTTTGCAGATATGAGCCTCTAACTTGTACTTATTATGTAATTGTAATTATGTTCTTGTACTTGTGTTGTTCTTTCGTTGCATCTACCGAGGGTGAAGTTCTCTTGGTCATGAATATCAATAGTATTATTTGTAGATTAAATTTTGTATTATTGCGAAGAAACGTCAATTGGTGATGCATTGCAGATTTAAAATTGTTTTCTGTGGCCCTATTCATTGCGTGCGTAATTTGAGCTTAATCAGCTCGTGTATTATTTATTGAGTGTTGTTATGTTTGTGATTAATATGCTAAGGAAACATTACTTTCATTGACGGAAAAAATAGCAATTTAACTAAATTTTGTATTTCACACTTTCACTGAGCCACGGCTCTGCGATTGTATGTTCCAAACAAATATTCAAATATTTCATTTAATAATATTTCATTTATTAATAATGCAGAAATCATCCGTATTGGTGACGGCAAGAAGGTGATCAGCTTGGAGCTCCTGAACGAAGAACAACTCGTCGTTGTGATCGCAGGCAGGCAGCGTCAAGTGAAGCTAATCCCTGTCAGGGCGCTTGCTGGCGATGACGTCGAGTGGATCAAGGCGAGTCTTGATCTGCTTTCTCTGATTGCTTTAAAATTTTACTCTACTCAACAGTCGAGGCACACTGAGGAACTTATTTAATCTCATTGGCACACCGGGTCAAAATTTCCAGACAGGTTTATATCTTTCTTGCTCTATTTCTATGATCCTTGTTGTTCACTGTCATTCAACTAGAGGGAACATTGTTCCTACTACGTCAAGATGGAATATTTGTTATGTTTACAATTAATTCACGAAATTTTGTAAACGTATTGAAGTCTAAACAGGACGGGAATAAAAATATATTTATTCGAGAGTTTGACCCGCATTAGATTCTAGCAGCAAATGGTTGACAGGAGAGACATCGGGAATGAAAAACTGGCAATTGCTAGAATCTGTTGAAGGAAATGGTGACTAAAATCTTAGTTTTGAGTGACTAAAATCTCATTGAAACTTGCTTACGAAAGACTGAAGGAAAACAATACTGTGAACCTATATCATTTGCAAAGGGGTTCTTTAGAGCGCACTTTTCATGTTGGGATAATTTTCCAGGTGCAAGAAACCAAAGGTGCCATGGCCTTCGCTTCGGGCAAGTTCCGCTTACCGTCGAAGCTTGGTCCCGCCACCACCTACTGCCTCTGCGTTGCTGTTAAGCGACAGGTCTGCTATACTGTAAAATAACCTGTACAAATATTGCAATGAGAACAATTTCAATAATAAATTCAAATTCGCTGTAAATTGAAGAAGCTATTCTCTTTATTACATTTTATGGATGGTCTTTTGTATTGCAATGGGTACAATTTCATAAACAAATTCAAATTCGCTATAAATTATGGAAGCTATTATCTCCATTACATTTTGTGTATGGTGTTTTATTGTTGGTGATTCATGTGGTGCAGGTCATCATATACGAGATCAACAGAAGTAAAGGGCGACACAAAGTCTTCAGAACGATCCTACTGCCGCAGCCGGCCACGAGCATTGAGGTTCTATCAGACAACAGGATCGCTGTGGGCTTCCAGTCTGCCTTCCATCTACAGCGTTCCGGGCGACCACCAGCCGCTCTGTTAGTCCTCTTTCTTTCCCCTTACATAATAACTTCAATTTTTTTGTACTTGGGACACGTTTCTCTATGTAACGCGATAATTTTTTTCATTAATTATTAACTCGGTAAGCTTAGAAGAAGTAAGCTATTAACCCGGTAAGCTGAGAAGAAGTAAGCTAATAACCCGGTAAGCTGAGAAGTAAGCTATTAACCCGGTAAGCTGAGAAGAAGTAAGCTAATAACCCGGTAAGCTGAGAAGTAAGCTATTAACCCGGTAAGCTGAGAAGTAAGCTATTAACCCGGTAAGCTGAGAAGAAGTAAGCTATTAACCCGGTAAGCTGAGAAGAAGTAAGCTATTAACCCGGTAAGCTGAGAAGAAGTAAGCTATTAAGAAGTAATCTATTAACACGGTAAGCTGAGAAAAAGTAAGCTATTTATTTATTAGTCGAAAGATTTTGAATCGACTTCTTTAAACAAAAAATATTTGCCAAATCTGCCATGCAGTGTTGCTGTAATGGCTTGGATGCAATGCAATTAGTTAGCAATTCACTTTTTGTTTTCCTGCTTTTTAATATATGTATGCTTAGCCCCAATAATTTTCATCAGCTTGTTTATTTTCTTGGCTTCAAATTCAAAGCGTTTATATAGCTATTAAAGTAATGTGAATTTCACACCCTCAGTTGTAATTTACTGTTGATAACTCATCTCATATATAATAACTTAGAACTTGTTTTCATGGGAACAGTAAATTGTAACACAGTGTCATTGTTTCTGTTAACTACTCTCAAAAATAACAACAAGGACTTGTTGCCATTGTAGTGGTAAAATTGCAACTCAGTGTCATTGTTTCAGCTCTGATCCACCCCGAGCTTGACGGAGCTGGGCTGTTGAGCGGAGTGGGGGGCGGGCTGAGTGTGGGGGGCAGCGCCCCTCCTGCGGTTGGTGGTCTGCTTGTCTCCACCAGCGCCGCCAGCAACTGCGAGGCTATGCGATGTCTGGAGGTGCCTTGCTTTTCTCGCTTGTTTCTCTACTGCCGAATAAATGTATTTCCCTTCTCAAAACTTCTGTACACTGTTATAAAAATTACCGTTAACGGTATTACAAGCGTTTCAGTGGCCGGTCGGCACGTGAAAAGAAACTCCGTGTTGCCGTTTTTATTCTAATTTAACATTAGAAATACGTAAAACATCGGATAAAAACGGCGAAACAGTTTATTTTCACAGGGCGACCGGCCACTAGAACGCCAGTGGGACCGTTTCTTCACCGTTTTTTCTAACAGTGTATTACAAACGCTTTTCTCCCAGTGCCTCGACCTCGTGTCTATTGGCAGTAACACTATCAACCTTCAGGTTCGGTTATAAGAATTATTAATAGTATTGACAACGGCTAATGTATCCGCAACCAAATAGTTAAATATATTGCTTGACGACATTAAGTTAATTATGTGTTTTGGGAAAGGACGATATTTTGATGTTTGACGATTCCTTACAATGTGTGGTAGCATTACGTTTATGCTGGCAAAGGTTGTACAATAGCTAAAAATATTTGTCTGCTACACCGTCGTTTGACTTTGTTAGCGGATTTGGGTTTTTCGATTAATCATCCTGTATTGTTTTGCTTCCTTGATATAATGAGTAAAATTGAATCGTGCTTCCATCCGTTCATTCTGCTGGACTTTTGTCGGACTAGCGTGCGTTTCAGTTGGCGTTTCTTTCACCTGCGACGCTCATTACTTAATTCTCCCTGGAATCTCTTCAAAAGCATAGCGAGATAAGTTTTCGCTCGGTGGTCTCCGTGCAATATGTTTTGTGATTACCACTTCGTGCAGTAATCACGTTGCCGGTCGCAGGTCCCGCGGTCGTGCGGGAGAGTACCTGTTGGTGTTCACGCTGCTCGCCGTCTACGTGGACGGCAACGGGAGGAAGACCCGAGACAAGGAGATCATGTATCCCGGGGTTCCTACCGCTATTGGTTTGTTCACTTTGTTATAGAGTTACAAATTATATTGTTGGAATTATCCTTCTAATCATGTGAATTTAGCATATGATTTATTTCTGTATTGGAATAAATCCTAAAAATAAACGTGATATTCTTTCACACGTTTGTCATAACAACGCTGTGTTACGACGCTGTGTAATGAAAGTTCGACCTTCGGCGCGAAATCGATCAAGATTTTCTGAAGCGCTAGAAACCTACTACTACTACTACTACTACTACTACTACTACTACTACTACTACTACTACTACTACTACTACTACTACTACTACTACTACTACTACTACTATAACTACTATTACTACTACTACTACTACTACTCATAACAACATCAGAAAATGGCTGCTCTGTTAATACTGGCCTTGCCTTGGTGTTAGGGATAGTGAACTGCTCCTTGCTTTTTGTTCGCAATAAAGTGTTTGCTTGCAGCTGTGTGCGATGGTCACCTACTAGTGACGGTCCCGTCGCAAGTTTTCCCTCAAAGAGAACAGCAGAGCTACCAGAACGTGAGTGACATTCACTAATGTTTAGCGCTTCATAATTGAACCGTTTCCATTATTCATTAGAAAATAAAAAAAGTTCCGTGAGTAAAATGTAGCGAGTTCCATTGTAATTTTAACTCACTAATAACACTACATACCAGTGAAGATAATTTAGTTTTCTAGGAGTCCATTAATGTTAAAACTGGAAGAAGCGTATATATTTAGATCAGCATAATTACTTCTGCGCTGAGAAATATTGCTAATGAAGGGGCGTGATGCAGCGCACATGTTATAGGGTTGCAATGTGACTTGACCGCGTATTTTCCATGTTATCTGAAAGTGGCACATTTGTATACCTTTGATGTATTCAATCCTCCTCTGCCAGTAGTTTTAATAGACGTTATGTTGTATGCAAGAATAACTCGGGAACTCGCTCGTATAGCAAATTTGCGTTGCTGTCTTTTACTTGGAATTACCGAACAGGTTGCAAGGTCCGTTTTGCTTACTCTGAGCCTTGTTGGATTGCAAAAGTTAGTTCAGTTCTGAATCGTCGAATCTTTTGAAATCTCGCAAGTTATTTTCTTGCTCTCAATTTGTTTTTGTTGATTTGTATGTCTCAATTTGCTAATGTCTCAATCACCTATAAGGCCGATTGGAAATGTCCAGTCGGGAATTATTGTCTGATTGAACTCTGACATTTTGTTTCAGAGACGAGTTCGTGAATATCCTCTTTGCACAATGTTTGTAGTAAGTCTGAATTTGTGATTTAAGGGTGTAAGTTCATTTTTATCTCCGTAATATGAATACCTTCATTTCCTGAAAACTTCTTATTCAACAATAATTTTCTTTACCTTTGCTTGATTGTATTGTTTTCTCACTATCCTTCTTGTCATGGATTCCTCAACATTTTACTCATAAGCTTGCATATACTATACTCTAGTCTACAGAGCATTGCCTTTCATGTTGTTTCATTTTGAAGATCGATTAATTTGTGTTAATTGTCATATATTCCATCACCATAACAATTGCGATCCATCCCGCTTTATTCTTTGTTAGTCCTCGAATTTCATTGGTGTTCGTCTCATAAATGATGTCCAAAATATTATGCCTCTTTTGCAACAGGCAGATATTTATGCAGTGTCGTATGTTAGATGCTTTGTTCTGTACCTTCTTATGAATGCAGCTTGATACGAGAACTGGAAAACAGAGTGCTGCATCTCATGGTGCCTGGTAGCAGTGGCAGCTCCAGTCGCTACTCAGAAGACCCTCAGCCTTCTTCGGCTCCCTGTTCTCCTGCGCTGTCGCGCCTCAAACGCCTCACTTTGACACCCACCTTACCACGACTCAAACTTCACGCTTCTGCTGCTGTAACTCCAAGTCCCACCTCTACTATTAGTGCATGGTCGTCTGGACCACAACCATCCTGGCATGCGTGGTCTCCTGGCAAATACCGAGCTCGCAGTTCCACCCCTGCCGCCGCGGCTCGAGCGGCCTCAAGCGTCGACTACGCGCGGCATAGTCCCATACTTTGGCGCCTCCAAAAATCATTTAGTCGGTGCAACATTGCCAGTTCTGGTTCACAGGACTCCCAGTCTTTCGTCTTTTGTGACGGTGAATGCTGCTGTGAGAATTGCCAGCCCAACCCTGTGTCTAATCACTGCAATGAAACTTCAGAAGACTTTTACGATGCCCCATCAACGATCCATGCTCAACGGATCCAACCTAACGCTATATCAGTCCTTTTCAGATCGACGTTGATGCTTCGTCCAAAATGAACTTCACTGCGGCTTGCAGTGACCTTTTTTAGTATGAGAACATCGCTGAACATGAGCCGATCAACACGAAATTGGCTTTAAATGCAATAACTAATTAAATTTTAAAGCAAATTTTCGATGAGTCTTCCCAGTAAAGATAATCGGCGCGGTACAAGATCTGTCTCTTATACACATCTAGATGTGTATAAGAGACAGGTTGCAAGCTGCTGTTACGATGGATAATCTTTTACGTAAGAGAATAAATCCACATGTTTCAATAGCTGCACAATAAATTTATTTGAATGTATATTATATGGCAATTTTAACATTCAGCGCATTTCTTCAATGCAATTCAGGATAACATCCCTCACATGGAAACCAGATAAGTAAGCATTAGCTACATTCCTCGTTCGTTACGCGTCTGTCGTAGAGTTTGTGTTTGAGTTCACATGCCTAGGGCCTAACAGGCCGGAAAATTGATAGGAAATGAGTAGTCGCATGCTAGATATTACTTTACTTATTTTTATATAACTTTCGCATTGTATCGTCGTATATGAAGTATTTTATTTTTCTTACGCAATGGGCATTCTTTTGTTCTGAAATAATTTGTTGTGATGTCTCTGACAATAAGACAGACTCAGTAACTAGCATTGGTTTATCTCAGGGCAAACGACCGTCGCAGCAAGCTGATCTCCGCCCCCAGCAACTTCAACCACATCAGCCACATGGGCCCCGGGGAGAGCATCGAGGACCAACGCCTCGTCGACCTGCCTATACCACCGTCGAGACCGCGGACGACCAGCAGCCGCAGGCCATACATAGGGTCCGTTCTTGGCTACTGATGCCGAGTTAATAATAATAATATAGAGTTAACAAAATCTAGTTATTATATAGTTATAACATTGAGTAGTTAACGAAACTTTGAGTAGGACGAGTAGCAGCCTCGGGCCATACATAGAGTCCGTTCTCAGTCACTCAGATTCGCACTTTACCCATTGCCTTCTGAAGCAACTCCATTTTAATCACGAATATCTTTGATAACGGTTCAGAGGGTTCAATAATCAACGTAACAATCGCCTTCCTCGAGAATTAGTGCTTAATGTTGGAACGGTACCGGAACGCTTAATCCTGTCTTGAAGATCAACATTTTGTAAATGATGTGTCTCGGTCCTGCTAAGATTCTTCTGCGCTAACGGATGGTTGAAAGGTTCCAAATAAGTCTATTGGCTAATTTGTATCCTTGGTATTTCACATGCGTGAATATTATCAACATCTATTGATTTCTTTCAAGTTAATTTAGAGATTATTTCTTCAGTAGGGCGAAATAAATTTAAGTACTGAGCGTTCATGTAAGAACTCCTACTAATCAATGACTATAAAAAGGCCTCGAATGGATACGATCAGAACCATCGTCTGCGATTCCTGATCTGATTTTCGCCAAACTCACTCGAGCACAACTTTGCAGTGTAAGAATTGCCCCTGTCTCTAATTGCCCTGTAAGAATTGCCCCTGTCTCTAATTGTCCTGTAAGAATTGTCCCCGTCTTTAATTGCCCTGTAAGAATTGCCCCTGTCTCTAATTCCCCTATGAATTGTCCTGTCTCTACGAAGTGTGTGATGAGATCGTATCTTGGCTGCAGGTGCGTAGCATGTTGCAGCCCAGCGTCAAGCTCGGGCCCGTCCGCCCGCCTGCAGGGAACGATCAACCCCGGCGCTCCTTCTCCCACTGATCAGAGTGAGTACTAGAGCTGCCACCTGCCTGTCCCCTGCCACCTGATCAGAGTGAGTACTAGAGCTGCCACCTACCTGTCCCTGCCTCCTGATCAGAGTGAGTACTAGATATGCCACCTGCCTGCACCGTGCCTCCTGATCAGAGTGAGTACTAGATCTGCCACCTGCCTGTCCCGTGCCACCTGATCAGAGTGAGTACTAGATCTGCCACCTGCCTGTCCCGTGCCACCTGATCAGAGTGAGTACTAGGGCTGCCACCCGTCTGCACCGTGCCTCCTGATCAGAGTGAGTACTAGATATGCCACCTGCCTGTCCCTGCCACTTGATCAGAGGGATATTTTTAGATGTCACAAGACTTTTGTACCAACTCATAAGGCTGATGCAGTGCATCTTGAAGTTCGCAATTACAGTAGCGAGATTTCATGAGGGTCTAAAATGTTACCTTCTTTGATTCTATCTGCCAGTGTGAGCGTAATTTTTCATTCCATTTACAAACTTATATGATATGTAATTTTGTAAATTGTACTAGGTATGTAAGATTGTGTAACTGATCTTTTTAATTGATTACAGCCAAGCGGCCGCTGGGCATCGATCCAACTCGCGGCATCGGCACCGCCTACGAAGGCTTCGTCAAGGTGCCTAAACCTGGCGGGGTCAAGAAAGGCTGGCAGCGGCAGTTTGTGGTGGTCTGCGATTTTAAACTTTTTCTCTATGACATCTCGCCTGACCGGTAAGAGATCTAGCGATTGGTTCTAATTTGTTATTTTAGTTCTGATTGAAATTATAATAGTTTCTTATTTTCAAGATATGGAATGATGAACTAGGATTAGGATTCAGTTATGTTGTGTCCGTTATACGTCTGCGATTTTAAACTCTTTCTCTATGACATCTCGCCTGACCGGTAAGAGATCTAGCGATTGGTTCTAATTTATTACTTGAATTCTGACGGAAATTATAATAGTTTCTTATTTTCAAGATATAGAAAGATGAACTAGGATCAGGATTCAGTTATGATGTGTCCGTTATTATGATTGAGAGTTGTGTCTGTGCATCCAACCTCCTCTAATTTAATGTGCCTAAGTCGATTAGAATTTTGCCTGTGACATTGTATCAACGATGTCTTTGTCCGCTTTGAAGCCAACAAAATCAAATTTCCCCGTCTCTAAAATGTTAGCATTAAAATGTAATGCGGCAGTCTAATCTTTGTATATAATAAATTTTCGTCCGAGATAAAGTACTGAAGCTGGAGGGTCTATGAATCTTCCACGTTTTCAACAATGTTATCTGAATTATTCATGATGAGCTTCGCATAGCTCATTCAAAACAGTAACTAGCATCTGAACAGTGGCTGTGATGGCTTAAATTCCTTGTGGATTTCAGCCACTTTCTTCGCGTGGTTCACAGTGACAGTTCACAGCTTAATTACTGGAAAAACTCGTTTATTTGTATACTTGAATCGAAGCTTTAGAAAATGAAACTATTTCTGTGTGATTTTACGAACCTACTTTTAATTTCTTGTTTAGCAGTGAAGTAAAATTTTTGCGGCTTTTCGACACGTACCTATCGGATCACTCTTTATTTTTACATGGAGATTGTTGCCAGGGTTCCGATGTAAAAGTAACTACTGACAAATTGAATAAAAATCAGTTCGGTATCATATATGATTATGCACAATATCTCACTACAACCTGTTTTATAAATCAAATAGAATCATTGCGGCGAACGCCAGGGGCTGAAGTAATAATCCGGACTTTCTGTAGTAATAATCCGGATTTTCTGTAGTAATAATCCGGATTTTCTGTAGTAATAATCCGGATTTTCTGTAGTAATAATACGGATTTTCTGTAGTAATAAATTTTCTGTATAATTCCATGCGTTCATTGTGAGCAGGAATGCCGTGGCGAGCGTGTGGGTGTCGTCAGTGCTCGACATGAGGGACGATCAGTTCGACGTAACCAAAGTTAAAGACTCCGATGTTATTCACGCTAATAAGAAGGATATCCCGTGCATATTTAGGGTGAGTACCGCGGCCTGATATGAATAGCTTATCGTTCAGGGCCCATACTTTCAAAAAAAGTTAAGAGATCGTAAGTTCGTCAGCCAATCATTGACGGCCTTTCAAGCAATAACCACCAATCATAGACAAGAAAATAGAGCGTAAGTACTTACGTTCACTTAGCGAGTTTTGAAAGTATGGCCCCAGCACCGGATGCTCTCCTGTTGAACTTGGAACAGGACACGTGTTGATGGGCTATTTGAAGCGCCGCTGCAATATCGCTCTTGAACTCGTACTATCTATAATATTATTATAGTATTCGTAGGTAAACCTAAAGGTACTCAAACCCAAAGTAATTGTGTTGTTTAACTTGCAGATCACAACGTCGTCTATGGTTGGCGTGTTTGAAGCGCCGCTGCAATATCGCTCTTGAACTTGTACTACCTATAATATTATTATAGTATTCGTAGGTAAACCTAAAGGTACTCAAACCCAAAGTAATTGTGTTGTTTAACTTGCAGATCACAACGTCGTCCATGGTTGGCGTGCGTCATCATTTGCTGATGCTGGCGGACACTGAGAACGAGAAGACCAAGTGGGTGGTGGCGCTGCAGGAGCTCCATAGGATACTTAAGAAGAACAGGCTACCTAACAGACAAGTGAGTCACGTCTTGAATTAGTAGCTCGTTTATAGCGCTAATCTCGACAGAATGTTTTTTTTATCATGCGAGTTGGAACTCGTATTAATGTAGTGACGCAATTTAAGCATTACGCCATCAACAATATGTGTATGTTATAGCTTCATTGTACAAAAATTATATTCTACCTACGTCTTATTACTGACTATGATGGTGTTTTTTCAGTTGACTTTTTGTGAATCTGTTGGGCGGTGATGTCTGAGCATCTTTTCGTCACGAATCAAAGCAGCTTGCTGATTCGTCCCGTATTTTATACTCGCTCATCGTATGCTAGCTTTTGCGGTGTAGCCGAGCCTGCATATTTTTTCCCTACCTATACAATGCAGTGATAAGGTTTTGCCACTTATGGTTTTTAGCGCATTTTCTCATTTATGAAAAAAATGCACTATTGTGCTCGACATGTCCGTCTGTCCGTCCGTCCGTCTGTCTGTCCGTCCGTCTGACTGTCCGTCCGTGACTTCATGTTTTCATTGACAAGAAAATGCGCTCACTAACACTCACTGCAGTGAGTATTGAGTTATATTTTTTCGTGAGTTACCGCGACGTTTTTATGTCCAGGTGTTCAGCGGGCACGAGGTGGTGGACGGCAGCGTGACAGCTCTCAAGAACTCTCTTTCAGCCGCGGTCATCGACCCTGACAGAATATTATTGGGTGCAGAGGAAGGACTTTTCTGCCTCGACCTTCATGCTGCAGGTGAAGCCACTTTCTTAACGCCTTCAATTCGTTCTTATTACTATCATCGTTAATCTTAATTTCTTTCATTTTTATCATTTCTACGCTTAGGTTAAATTATTTTATCGTTTTAGTGCTATTATTTTCATGTCGTACAGAATATCTCAACTCAATTGTTACCAGAAGAGGGCATTAAAAGTTTGTTTGCAGATATGAGCCACTTAGTTTTTTCCCGTGTTAGTTAGTTTTTGCGTCTGTAGTAACAAATTAGTTTTCGTTTTTCTTTTCCCGTGCGTTGTTCTTTCGTTGCATCCTACTGAGGGTGAAGTTTTCTTGGTCATGAGTATCCATAGTAATATTTTTAGAATAAATTTTGTTCTCTTAGGAAGAAACATCACTTGGTGATGCATTGCAAATTTTAAATTGTTTTTCTGTTGCACTATTCCATTGCGTGCGTAATTTGAGCCTAATCAGCTCTTGTATTATATCTTGGGTGTTGTTGTTGTTTGTGATCAATATGCGTAGGAAACATTACTTTCATTAATGGAAAAGCATCGCGATTCAACTACTTCTTTAATTCATTATTTTAGTTCCAAACAAATATTGTAATATTTCATGTCCTCTTTTCCTTTATTTTTATTGCAGAAATCATGCGCATTGGTGAAAACATAGCGATTTAAATAATTTTGTAGTTCATACTTTCGCTGTGCTGCGGCTCAGCGAATTTAGGTTCTAAATTAATATTGTAATATTTCATTTCCTCATTTCATTTCTTTTAACTGCAGAAATCATCCGTATTGGTGACGGCAAGAAGGTGATCAGCTTGGAGCTGCTCAACGAAGAACAACTCGTCGTTGTGATCGCAGGCAGGCAGCGTCAAGTGAAGCTCATCCCTGTCAGGGCGCTCGCCGGCGACGACGTCGAGTGGATCAAGGCGAGTCTTGATCTGCTTTTACATAACTTGATCTGCTTTTGGGCAAGTGATCTGCTTGATCACCTTTAAAGTGATCAAGTGATCTGCTTGATCACCTTGATCACCTTTAAAGTGATCAAGTGATCTGCTTGATCACTTTGATCTGCTTTTACATCCCTGTCAGGGCGCTCGCCGGCGACGACGTCGAGTGGATCAAGGCGAGTCTTGATCTGCTTTCTCCGATTGCTTTAAAATTTATAGATTCTAGCAGCAAATGGTAGATAGCAGAGACTTCGAAAATGAAAAACTAGAAATTTCAAGAACCCGTTGAATGAACTTGTTAACTGTTAGTTTCGAGTGACTAAAATCTCATTGAAACTTGTTTACAAAAGACTATAGAAAAGCAATACTATAAACCTATATCATGTGCAAAGGGGTTCTTTAGAGCACACTTTTCACGTTGTGATAATTTTCCAGGTGCAAGAAACCAAAGGTGCCATGGCCTTCGCTTCTGGCAAGTTCCGCTTACCGTCCAAGCTTGGTCCCGCCACCACCTACTGCCTCTGCGTTGCTGTTAAGCGACAGGTCTGCTATACTGTAAAATAACCTGAGCAAATATTGCAATGAGTACAATTTCAAATAAATTCAAATTTGCTATAAATTATAGAAGCTATTCTCTTTATTACATTTTATGGATAGTCTTTTGTATTGCAATGGGTACAATTTCATAAACAAATTCAAATTTGCTATAAAATATAGAAGCAATTTCCTTCATTACATTTTGTGTATGGTGTTTTATAATAATATTGCAATGGGTACAATATCCAAAACGAATTCAAATTTGCTAAAAATTAGAAAAGCTATTCCATTCATCAAATTTTGTGTATGGTGTTTTATTGTTGGTGATTTATGTGGTACAGGTCATCATATACGAGATTAACAGAAGTAAAGGGCGACACAAAGTCTTCAGAACGATCCTACTGCCCCAGCCGGCCACGAGCATTGAGGTTCTATCAGACAACAGGATCGCTGTGGGCTTCCAGTCTGCCTTCACCATCTACAGCGTCCCGGGCGACCACCAGCCGCTCTGTTAGTCCGCTTTCTTTCCCCTTACATAATAACTTCAAATATTCTGTACTTACGACACGTTTTTCTATGTAACACTTCAATTTCCGCCATGACTCGCGTTTTTTCAATAATTATTAATCCTGTAAGATCACTGCCTCGTGGTTTTCCTGCGCCTAGCGACCTCATGAAAAATTGTTCAGCCTCGTATCGATTAGTTCCATAATCGTCGTCACCGCGTTTGATGGCCTTTCTTCACCTGGGCTGACTTTTTGCAAAATCTGTTAGGCTAATTCGACATTATAAATTATATTATTGTAATTTTTAATCGTATTCTCATCTGAGATTTTTTCCTGACTTTAAATTGAATTTTTCGAACGATTTTGAATCGACTTATTCACGCAATTTTTTTTTGCAAAATCTGCTATGCAGTGTGTTGCCGTATTGGCTTGAATGTAATTAGTTAGCAATTCACTTCTTGTTTTCGTGCTGTTTCATATATGCTTAGCTCTAATAATTTTCGTCGGCTTGTTTCTTTGCTCGGTTTCAAATTCAAAGCGTTTATTTAGCTATTAAAGTAATTTTTATATGTGTATTCCACACCTCAGTTGTAATTTACTGTTGATAACTCATCTCAAATAGAACAAGGATTTGTTGCCATTGTAGCAGTGAATTGCAACTCAGTGTCATTGTTTCAGCTCTGATCCACCCCGAGCTTGGCGGAGCTGGGCTGCTGAGCGGAGTGGGGGGCGGCCTGAGTGTGGGGGGCAGCGCCCCTCCTGCGGCTGGGGGTCTGCTTGTCTCCACCAGCGCCGCCAGCAACTGCGAGGCCATGCGATGTCTTGAGGTGCCTTGCTTCTCTAGTTTATTTATCTACTGCTGCATAAATGTATTCTCCTTCTCAAAACTTCTGTACACTGTTATAAAAATTTCCGTTAACAATATTACCGGCCTTTCAGTGGCCGGTCGGCACGTGAAAAGAAACACCGTGTTGCCGTTTTTATTCTAATTTAACACTTGAAATCCGTAGAACATCTGATAAAAACGGCGAAACAGTTTATTTTCACGGGGCGACCGGCCACTAGAACGCCAGTGGGACCGTTTTTTCACCGTTTTTTCTAACAGTGTAATTACAAACGCTTTTCTCCCAGTGTCTCGACCCCGCGTCTATTGGCGAAAACACTATCCTCCTTTATGTTCGGTTATTAGAATTAAAAATAGTATTTACAACGGCTAATGTATCCGCAACCGAATAGTTAAGCGAAGTCTGAAATATTGCTTGACGTGATTAAGTTAATTATGTGTTTTGAGAAAGGACGATACTTTGATGTTAGACGATTCCTTCCAATGTGCGGTAGTATTACGCTTATGCTGGCAAAGGTTATACAATCGCTAAAAATATGTGTCTGCTACGCCGTCGTTTGCCTTGTTGTTAGCGGATTTTGATTTTTAGATTTATCATCCTGTTATTGTTTTGCTTGCCTGATTTAATGAGTAAAATTAAATGATTTCTACTTCCATACGTTCATTTTGCTGGACTAGCGTGCGTCTCAATTGGCGTTCGTTTTGCGTGCGACGCTCTTTAAACTAATTATTTGATTCTCTCAAGAATCTCTTCAAAAGCATGGCGGGATGAGTTTGCGCTCGGTGGTCTCCGTGCAATAAGTGTGGTAATGACCAAGTCGCGCAGTAATCACGTTACCATGCGCAGGTTCCTGTGCAATAAGTGCGGTAATGACCAAGTCGCGCAGTAACCACGTTGTCGTGCGCAGGTTCCTGTACAATAAGTGTCGTAATGACCAAGTCGCGCAGTGTTGTTTTTTTAATTACCCATCCTGGTAGTGGCGACTAGGGAGGGGGTGATAGGTCAGTTTTTCCGGGCACTCTACTTTTTTCGCACTCAGTTTTTCCGGGCACTCAGTTCTTCCGGGCACAACTGCTGGTAGTTCTACGACCATCACTGGCTCGCTGACCCGCCAGAACCATTTGATTGCATTACACAACACCCTGGACAAGCCAGGTACTCATTTATCAACCAGAGTTGGATGAATGGCTGACTTGACCATGGGCTGAGCTTCCCGGAAGAACTTGTCCCCAGCGGGACTCGAACCCGGGCGCTGGGTGCGACAGACTAAGTCTCTCACCACTGCACCACCACAGTAGCCGCGCAGTAATCACGTTACCATTCCCAGGTTCCCGGTCGTGCGGGAGAGTACCTGTTGGTGTTCACGCTGCTCGCCGTCTACGTGGACGGCAACGGCAGGAAGACCCGGGACAAGGAGATCATGTATCCCGGCGTTCCTACCGCTATTGGTTTGTTCACTTTGTTATCGAGTTACAAATTATATTGTTGGAATTATTTAGCGAAGCATGTGACTTTGTCATATGATTTTTCTCTAGATTGGAATAAATCCTAAAAATGAGCGTGATATTTTTTCACACGTTTGTCATAACAACGCTGTGTTACGACGCTGTGTAATTAAAGTTCGACCTTCGGCGCGAAATAGATCAAGATTTTCTGAAGCGCTAGAAACATACTACTACTACTCATAACAACATCAGAAATTGGTTGCTCTGTTAATAGTGGCCTTGCCTTGGTGTTAGGGATAGTGAACTGCTCCTTGCTTTGTGTTCGCAATAAAGTGTTTGCTTGCAGCTGTGTGCGATGGCCACCTACTAGTGTACTCCGAGACGCACATCGACGTATTTGATGTCCTCACCGGAGACTGGATACAAACGCTCAACCTGCGCCGCTCCAAACCCCTCATGAGGTCCGGCATTCTCAACCTCGTCATGATGAGCGACCTGCCGCACGTCGCTTACCTTCGTAATCTCCAGCAAGGTTAGTTCAGGACTTCGCTTGTCTACACAATTTGAAGATTTTTTTTTCCTGCTTGAACTGCTCCTATTTGAACTGCTTGAGTCTATTTAACAAGGCAATTCAACAATGCTACTTATACCTGGGGAAAAAACTTTGTCTGCCTCTCTTTACTCAAAGAGTATATCTCTCTGTCAACTCACACGCAAGAAGTCCAAACCGATGTTTGAGATGCAGCCAATATGTGATGCATGCGACGTCGGGTCAAGCGAACTGCGATTTACGACTTTACCCCCACAGACGAGCTCATACGGACGGGTTATGACCAGATGGGGCGACCTCGGTCCCGTCGCAAGTTTTCCCTCAAAGAGAACAGCAGAGCTACCAGAACGTGAGTGACATTCACTAATGTTTAGCGCTTCATAATTGAACCATTTTCATTATTCATGCGAAAATAAAAAAAGTTCCGTGGGTAAACTGTAGCGAGTTCCATTGTAATGTTAACTCGTAATAACACTACATACCAGTGAAGATAATTTAGTTTTCTAGGAGTACATTAATGTTAAAACTGGACGAAGCGTATATATTTAGTTCAACGAAATTACTTATGCGCTGATAAGTGTTGCTAATGAAGGGGCGTGATGCAGCGAATATGTTATAGGGTTGCAATGTGACTTGACCGCCTATTTTCCATGGTATCAAGAGTGTGGCGTATTTGTATACCTTTTATGTATTCAATCTTCCTCTGCCTTTAGTTTTAATACACGTTCTGTTGTATGCAAGAATATCTCGTGAACTCGCTCGTATAGCAAGATTGCGTTGCTATATTTTGCTTGGAATTCCCAAACAGATTCAGAGGTTCGTTTTTCCTACTTTAGTGTAGTTTGGCAGAAGCTGTTCTTTAATGCAGGTTTCGTTGAAGACCAGAGAGTATTTCTTATTGACAATTTTCTTATTATTTTTCTCGATTCGGCGAATTAGGCTCTTGATAGGAAGTGAAAATCCAAATATCAGGTTTCCAAGGGACATTTTATTATAATTTTACGACGTTTCGAATGCAACTTCATTCATTATCAAGTAGAGGACGAGTTTTGCAACAAGTGAATTTGAAATTTTGAAATGACAATAGTACAAACATAGGGTATTATGGATACAGATTGGAATCAAAGCTTAAATTACGAGAACAATTTTAACGTCCTGACAAATCCGGTAGTTTTCCTACTCTGAGCATTGTAGGATCGCAAAAGTTGGTTCAGCCCTGAATCCTCGAATCTTTTGAAATCTCGCGAGTCATTTTCTTGTTTTCCATTTGTTTTTGTTGATTTCTACGTCTCAATTTGCTAATGTCTCAACCATCTATAGACCAACCAATGATTTTTCAGTCGGGAATTATTGTCTGACTGAACTCGGACATTTTGTTTCAGAGGCAAGTTCGTAAATATCCTCTTTGCACAATGTTTGTAGTCGGTCTGAATTTGTGATTTATGGTGTAAGTTCATTTTTATCTCCATAATATGAACACCTTCATTCCGTGAAAACTTCTTTTTCAACAATAATTTTCTTTACCTTTGCTTGATTTTGTTGTTTTCTCACTGTCCTTTTTGTCATGGATTCCTCATTACTTTACTCATAAGTCGGCTCATACTCTAGTCTAAAGAGCATTGCCTTTCATGTTGTTTCATTTTGAAGATCGATTAATTAGTGTTAAGTGTCATATATTCCCTCACCATAACAATTGCGATCCATCTCGCTTTATTCTTTGTTAGTCCTCGAATTTCATTCGTGTTCGTCTCATAAATGATTTCTATGACAATATGCATCTTTTGCAACAGACTATCGGAAGAAACTTTAAATTGAGATCCATTCCACCGTAACACATCAGGGGACTAGTCTTATATCCATGCAGTGTCGTGTATGTTCAATGTTTTGTTCTGTAACTTCTTATGAATGCAGCTTGATACGAGAACTGGAAAACAGAGTGCTGCATCTCATGGTGCCTGGTAGCAGTGGCAACGCCAGTCGCTACTCTGAAGACCCTCAGCCATCTTCGGCTCCCTGTTCACCTGCGCTGTCTCGTCTTAAACGCCTCACTTTGACACCCACCTTACCACGACTCAAACTTCACGCTTCTGCTGCTGTAACTCCTAGTCCCACTCCTTCTATTAGTGCATGGTCGTCTGGACCACAACCATCCTGGCATGCGTGGTCTCCTGGCAAATACCGAGCTCGCAGTTCCACCCCTGCCGCCGCGGCTCGAGCGGCCTCAAGCGTCGACTACGCGCGGCATAGTCCCATACTTTGGCGCCTCCAAAAATCATTTAGTCGGTGCAACATTGCCAGTTCTGGTTCACAGGACTCCCAGTCGTTCGTCTTTTGTGACGGCGAATGCTGCTGTGAGAATTGCCAGCCCAGCCCTGCGTCTCCTCACTGCAATGAGACTAAAGAAGAATTTTACGATACGCCATCAACTTTCCATGCTCAACGGATCCAACCTAACGCTATATCAGTCCTTTTCAGATCGACGTTGATGCTTCGTCTAAAATGAACTTCACTACGGCTTGCAGTGACCTTTTTTAGTATGAGAACATCGCTGAACATGAGCCGATCAACACGAAATTGGATTTAAATGTAATTACTAATTAAATTTTGAAGTAAATTTTCGAAGGGCCTTCCCAGTTAAAATAATCGGTGCTGTGCAAGATTCTTGTTAAAGAGTCGGTATTGAATTAATTGAAATTCATTATAACTTGTATTAATTAAAAGACGTGTTAAATTTGTGTAATATTAAGATCGCAGCTATTGACACTCCTTCGTGCACGCTTCCTCTGGTGCGAAGAAAGCAGAGCGTTGCTATGGAAAGATTGGTCTTTATCCTTTGCTTCTCGAGTTATTTGGTTGTTCGAATTCATCAGGCAAGAAAACATTCATAAGTGTTAGTCGGTGGGAAGAGATCTTTTCAAGTGGGAAAATGATTGCTACGAAAGTTCGTTTCAACGGCTCCCATGGAAAAAAAATATTGTTGCTCCAGGAAATAAGAATGCTTGTACTCGAAAATTGCTTCTCGCATAACTAAGTTGCAATTGAGCGGCATGCTGACATGCCCTTTGTGACTTTTTGTTTTAGTTTTTATTGGAGAAAATATATAACCGTCTGCAGAAAATAGCTTACGTTTTCTTGACTCAAAAACTCACAGAAGTACAAACTATTGCTAGCACTTAGAACGACTTCTGAAGGCACCTTATGGTTTTTGTGTGATTTGTTGTGACTGTCGTTTGAAGTTGTAATGAAGTTGATACCATGAAATGTTCTGGAAATTTTCCAGAAATAAGAAATATTTAACTTCAATTCAAGAAAATAACAATAATGTGTGCTTTATCGCAAAAAGTGCATCAGAATTTGGAATTAGAAGCTTCCTAACATGATTGGTGTCCAGAATCCGTGTGTAGCATTGTAACGCAGCAGATGAAGTGTGCATTGATGCTGTTTACAATAATGATGGGGGAAAAATCCAAATTACAACATGAAAGCCGCTTCATCAACGGAAGATATTGAGTGCTCGTCGCGAACTACCGAAGAATACAACTAGTGGCTGTGCGCTACGAAAACAGCTATGAACAACAGTACAGTTGTGCGCTACGTATACAGCTTTGTTCAGTGCGAGTGAGTGAGTCTTTTACACTACTGTTTGTGTGGTGTGAGCTCGTCACCTTAATGCTTCTTCAAATAGTGATTAATGATCAGCTTAGCTCGATCAGTGAACAGAAAGAGAACTCCTTGCAATTCCAGACACCATGCAAATGACAGCCAATTCCTGTCCAGTGCTCGTCATGACGCCTCGAATCAATTATTCTGAGCCTAGCACAGCAATAAATATACTAACATTTCTGTGATAGTTGTTTGGTGTTTAGCCTCTGTAGTGACATTTTATTTAAAATAACTAATAAAGTGTGATCATATTCTGTGAAAGTTACGCATGCACTTGTTTGCAATCAATTTCATTGCGCAAATACGTTGTAAGTTTCTCGGAGCGTAAGTGAAGATGGTGATATCCGTTTATGGACATAGTATTCGACTCTTTTCCTATTCTCAATATTATTCTTGTCACTCAAGTCAGGCTGTCAACCCCTGCAGTGGTTGCGTACAAAAACTGACCAAATTGGTCACATTTTCGTTCAGTTTCGTTACTGTGGATTTTCGTAGGAGTGGATTACATGTGTAATCCACGCGGACACTTTAGGGTTAAATTAAATTGAAATATATCGTATAGGTTTCCACACACTTGTCCCTTTGTTTGGTTTACTGGTGGTTGCTTTCCCTTCGTGACATCTTGCATTATTAATTGCTATGTCAGAGGAACTCCGTTGGCATGTGCGTAAGTAAATCGAAACTTGCTTGCTGTTTTCTTTGGAATTCATTTAGTAATCTTTAGATCAATATTAGTTTCTGTGCGTAAGCTTAGCTTTCTTTCTTTTTAAAGGAAGAGTTTAGAATTATATTTTACGCTGAACTTCTGATAATGAATCTACGCAAGGAAAAGACTATTCTTCTGTTGGTTTCAGTTTGTCGGCATTGTTCTTCTTATTGGTTGCGAGTCATTGATACATATAGCTTTAAGATTTGCTGTAAAAACTTGCAAAACCTTTATCCAAATCTCCTACGTGATTGTTTGGGTAACGTATAAATTGCCTCCAGTAGTTTTATATTCATTCGCTAATCATTTTTAAGATGGTTCTTTTGCTTTTAACCCTTTAATAGTTACTACTCCTTACCAAAGGAATTTACAATTAAATAACTTTCTAAAATAAATAATATTCTAAAATATTTTGGTCTCACAGTTGATTTAAAATGATATGAGATTAAATTTTCCATTCGTACATTTCAATCTGCTGTTAAGATATTGGTTAAAAAAATATATAAAAATATATATATATTGGAATCATTTCTGCTGTTAAATATAGTTAGTGGTTCTGCGTTCGTACGAGAATAAATCCTCATATTTCAATAGCTTAACAATAAACATATTTGAATGTATATTACGGTATGTGACAATTTTAACATTCATTGCATTTCTTCAATGCAATTCAGGATAACATCCCTCACATGGAAACCAGATAAGTAAGCATTAGCTACATCCCTCGTTCTTTATGCATCTGTCGCATATTTATTATATATTCCAAGCATGTTCCGTTTGTGTGAATGGTGGTGAGTGCAGCACTGAGGCGAAGTAAGCATGTTACTCTGTTTGGTGCTCAAGTTATGAAGTTAATGGTTACAGTTAGGTTAAGAAACAGCATGACGATGAACATTGGTCGAAGGAAGTCGGCAAAAGGCTGAATTCTGTAGAATTTTAGTGACATGCGTTATATTTTTTAGAGTTATTGACATGCGTTACTTTTTTATTTGAGCTCACATGCTCAGGCCCTAACAGGCCGGAAAATTGATAGGAAATCAGTAGTCGCATGCTAGAAATTACCTTACATATTTGATATAACTTTCGCATTGTATCATCGTATATGAAGTATTTTCTTTTTCTTACGCAATGGGCATTCTTTTGTTCTGAAATAATTTGTTGTGATGTCTCTGACAATAAGACAGACTCAGTAACTAGCATTGGTTTATCTCAGGGCAAACGACCGACGCAGCAAGCTGATCTCAGCCCCCAGCAACTTCAACCACATCAGCCACATGGGCCCCGGGGAGAGCATCGAGGACCAACGCCTCGTAGACCTGCCTACCACCGTCGAGACGGCGGACGACCAGCAACCTCAGGCCATACATAGGGTCCGTTCTTGGCTACTGATGCCGAGTTAATATAGAGTTGAAAAACTTTAGTTATTATATAGTTATAACCTTGAATAGTTAACGAAACTTTGAGCTTACTTTTAGTAGGACGACCAGCAACCGCAGGCCATACATAGGGTCTGTTCTAGGCAAATGATGCCGAGTTGATATTGAGTTGAAAAACTTTAGTTATTATATAGTTATAACCTTGAGTAGTTAACGAAACTTTGAGTAGGACGACCAGCAACCTCAGGCCATACATAGGGTCTGTTCGTGGCTTCTGATGCCGAGTTAATAATAATAATAATAATATTGAGTTAACGGAATATGGTTATTATATACGGTAGTTAAAAACTTGAGTAGTTAACGAAACTTTGAGCTTACTTCGAGTAGGACGACCAGCAACCGCAGGCCATACATAGGGTCCGTTCTAGGCAACTGATGCCGAGTTAATATAGAGTTGACGAAATATAGTTATTATATGCTAGTAATAACCTTAAGTAGTTACCGAAACTTTGAGATTACCTCGAGTAGGACGACTAGCAGCCTCAGGCAGTACACAGGGTCCGTTCTGGGCAGCTGATGCCGAGTTAATATAGAGTTAACGAAATTTAGTTATTTTATAGTTATAAACTTGAGTAGTTAACGAAACTTTGAGCTTACTTCGAGTAGGACGACTAGCAGCGTAGAGTCCTTCATAGCCATACGTTGCAGCGTAGAGCCAGCGTAGCCATACGTAGAGTCCTTCTGAAGGTAACTCCATGTATTAGATTTTTAATCACGAAGAACTTTGATAACGGTTCAGAGGGTTCAATAATTAACGTAACAATCGCATTCCTTGAGAATTAGTGCTTAATGTTGGAACGGTACCGGAACGCTTAATCCTGTCTTGAAGATCAACATTTAGTAAATGATGTGTCTCGATGCAGCTAAGATTCTTCAGAGCTAACGGATTGTTGAAGGGTCCAAATATGTCTATGGGCTAATCTGTATCCTTGGTATTTCACATAGTTGAATATCATCAACATTCATTGATTTATTTCAAGTTAATTTAGAGATTATTTCTTCAGTAGGGGCGAAATAAATTCAAGTATTGAGCGTTCATGTAAGAACTCTTACTAATCAATGTCTACAAAAAGGCCTCAAATGGATACGATCAGAACCATCGTCTGCGATTCCTGATCTGATTTTCGCCAAACTCACTCAAGCGCAAATTTGCAGTGTAAGAATTGCCCCTGTCTCTAATTGCCTTGTAAGAATTGCCCCTGTCTCTAATTGCCCTGCAAGAATTGCCCCTGTCTCTAATTGCCCTGCAAGAATTGTCCCTGTCTCTAATTGCCCTGTAAGAATTGTCCCTGTCTCCACAAAGTGTGCGATGATAGCGTATTTTGGCTGCAGGTGCGTAGCATGTTGCAGCCCAGCGTCAAGCTCGGGCCCGTCCGCCCGCCTGCAGGGAACGATCAACCCCGGCGCTCCTTCTCCCACCAGCCGCTGCCTCTCCATCCTCACCAGCAACAACAGTTCCAACAGCAGCAGCAGCAAATGCAGCAACAACCTCAGTACAGCAATATTCGCAATGGTCAGCAAGCAGAATCATGTTGACATAATAAGTTGAATATACTCAAGTTGACATGATAGCTCATATAAGAACGCTTTAGTTCTAAAAAGGATCACTAAAATAGCTATATGGACTAGGAACCTAAGCCTGGGATTTGACGCCGATTGTTAGCTCTTTTCAAATTAGAAGTGAACTTCTTCCAGTTATTGCTGATCTTTATTTTTAGCGCATTTTCTCATTTACGGAAAAAATGCACTATTGTGCTCGTCATGTCCGTCTGTCTGTCTGTCCGTCCGTGACTTCACGTTTTCGTCGATAAGGAAATGCGCTCTCTGTCACTCACTGCAGTGAGTACTGAGTTACATTTTTAATCGATGTTTTGTGTCAGTTTTCGTAAGCATACATTGAATTAGTTTACTACAGTAGAAATCCTCACCTTAACTAAGCAAAATTCCCAGGGAATGCACCGGCTCACTTGGTGGCAGGCGCTCGTAGAGGTCCTGGGCTGCCGCCTTCTGGCCCCCCGCCTCAGATCCCTACCATGCAGCCTCAGCAGTTGCAACAACAACAAATCTTACAGCAAAGATCGCCTGATGAACTACGTCACCAAGCTATACATCAACTGCAGGAGGTGAGCTCCCTTTTGTCTTACTTTACCCTAGCAACGACGGGGTTTGATTGATTCACAAATCGTCGATTTTGAAGAATTGGATTATTGATTCAGATGCCGATGACAAGAAGGATTTTGTAATCGCCGAATCAGATTTGTCACTGGTCCAGTCAAGGAGACGGGTCGCGATTGTCAAATTCTGCGTCGGTAACTTTCTCGTGCTATTTTCTTATCGCCGATAGGCTCTTATCCGTTGAAGCAGTCATCTATTCAACTTTAAATCGGTGCGAGATATAAATAGGAAGGAAGTCTTTTGTATCGCATTTTTGCATATTTGCTAACTTATCTTCATTTAATTGAATGAATGAAATTTCGCAATTCCATTCATTTGTTGGCACTTTGTGCAGCTGCACTGATAGTTTCTTCGATACTGTTCGAGGTATCTTGCCAAAACTTGCTGAAGAAGGAAAGGGAATATTCCGAGAACCTTTATGACATTCTTGCGTAAAATTTTCTATTCAAATTTTCATTTCCTATGTGCCAGTTCCAATTTCTCGACGTTAGGTTCCTAACTGTGAAGAGAGTGTATAAATTTCATGTATGATGGGTATTGGATGGACAAGTATTTGTATTTTTGATGATAGTGATCGTATGCTTTGTTGCAGCAGGAGAGCGGTGGTGGTGGTGACACGTCACCTCGTCACTCAATAGCAAGTAATACATCAAGTAACTTATCGTCACCGCCGTCACCAGGCCATCCTCCTCTCCTAGACACCCATCACTCGTCTTCCTATGAGTCTTAGGGCACTAAACGAGCTCTTGTTAAATGTTACAGTGACTCAGCGCAGTCTCACTCTAGAGATCGCTTGCCGATAACCCCCCGCTTGAGCTACGCCTCCTCTGTTGGTAGCTGCTTGGAAAATGCGCCTCGTTCTTCTTCTGCTCAAATTGAACCACCAGTCTTACCGCCACGTTCAAGGAGCTTTGTTTCTCTCACACCAAGGACAACTGCTAAACACAATGCGCAGGAAACACGAGCTCGGATGTTAGTGCAGGATTCTGAGGCCCTCGAGTCGCCTAACCAAAGCATTGCTCCTCAAGCTCGGGCGCGTCGAAGGCAGCAAGAGTTGCCGCCTGTCCCACAAGAAGAGACTCATAGGCCTCAAATCCCTCTCCCGCCAGCTCGCAGCATAACTAGTTTACTACAAGAAAGACTCACGCGACATGCTGCGCGAGTCAGCAGGAGCTTGCCCAGAATACCAGAGTCCTAACTCGTTCGATGATGTAAATTGTTACACGAATTCGTTGCGATCAATTTCGGGTTCCGAGTTACGTTCGTTAGTGCTCAAAAAACTCGTATGGAGGAAGAATGATTCAATGATTGGTATCCTCAAATTTTCTATGTCAAGTCTGCCTGTTCATGTTCACAGGCTTTGATTCCTTTTAACTTATAACATTGCAGATCAGACTGCGCCCATTTCTCGACGCTGAGCTGCCAGATTTGATTTTGGTGAAGACTCAAATCTTACTCCCGTTGCCAATAATAGAAGAGATGATAATTGTAGAATTAAATTTTTACTTTTGACTGATTTTTGTATTTGAGAACTCTGAGGGTAAACAATAATTAACCATCAGTGTATAAATACAGTGACGTTCGTTCTAGTGAGCGTGTTTGTAGTATTGTTCTTAGCATACATCTCTGCAAGTCCAAGTTTCTAGAGATACTCAAACGTGGCTTCCATATCGTCTTAGGACTCGTGTAAGCAATTCTGATAGTATGATGGGTATCCTACGTGTTAAGCTGTCATCAGATGTTTTTAGCTGCGTTTAGAGATGTTATGCGTATTAGAAAACTTGAAAAACTGTTGTATGTCAATGGAGTAAATTCGATTGGTTGTTCAACGGAAGTCTTTGCAGTCACTTGGAAGTAGAACTTTTGGTGGGCCTAAAATCCCGTCTCTCCTATGAACCACAACTTTAAATAGAAAGATTTCACATTTTTATTGTGTCGTCAATCACGTCATGTGATCGTAATGAGCCTCAAAAATAAGCCGCTGTTCAATTGCGAGACGTGAAATGATTGGTTGCGAAACTCGTCAATGTTATTTCGTATAATCAAAAGTTGAAATAGGCTCCTTTATTATTGTTGATTTTCTTTTGCTATGCAATTTTAGTAAACCTTCCTAGTCATTCTTTGTAAGTTTCACGCACCTGTATGGCGTTCCAGATTTTAAGTTGTCCTGAACGCCCACCTGCCGGGGCCGCGTTCCCAGAACTACCTACCTGCATTTGCCAAGCGTCTCCTTGATTATTATTTCAAGCGTCTCCTTGACCACATTTGTTCCGGTTGCCGAGATTTTATCTCGCCTATTCATTTGATAAAGAATATTTGATTTGGACCTGATACTGCTTCTCAAGACTTAATAGTTTTGACGTGAAAAGCTCCTAATTTGTAGTAGTGAATCGGTGCTTTCTCTGATTGCATTAAAATTTTACTTTACTCAACAGCTATTCCATTTTTATTATTGAAATATCGAGTATTGTCCATCATCGTCGTACATTAAAGGTTTAATTTCCCTTAGTTGGGGTGTGGTCTCTTCATTATCCCGTTCTATTGTAGATAAACTGTAAATAGCCGGACTCTTCTCACCAGAGTGTAAGGAGAAACTTTGACCATATTTTCGCCTTATGACTTTGTCCTTAGCGGTTCTGCGTTGCGTACTTTGTTGCCGTAAATTGCCGACGTTCATGTTCGCGTCTGTGGTGTATCGGGAATTGAGAGCGTCATGTGACGTGCTGGAAGCAAAATAAGGCGTGACACACCCCCGATAAATGTTACGCCTTATTTTACCTATCGTCAAACGTTGCTTTATTTCTACTTAATTTGAGCAACGATTTTAAGTGCGTAATTGCTTGCAATAATTTCTGTTTCTTTGAAATGAATTTAGTCGCTTCTCGAAATTTGCCAACAGGCACAGTTTACGTGCCTCTGGGGCGTTCTAGTCGTGTGTCACGGTGTTAATTTTCGCGCAACGCTCGGACTGACAAATTAATTCATTCAGATTTTTAATTGTTGCTTTAATGATAGTACTTGTTATTAAATTGAGTGATCATTGGAAAAATTCGGAACAATGAAATGCATGTACGCATACATGTTGCATAATTTGTCACAATGCTATAGTAAAAACTGGTCAGCAGAAAAATGCCTTAATCAAAGAACAAAGTTGAGTCGTACTCGATGTAAAGATTGCGTTTCATTAATTTGAATAGTTGCACACAGCTTTTTTAAACACATATGGCCAGTACTTACGGATGAAATTTATATAGCTGCCGCAATGCATGTTGAAGCAACATTCTTCGTATATTCCATGTGCTCTTAAATGAACGTCACAAAAAATGCCAAATTTTTAGTAAACTTTAATACGAAATTCTCATGCCACGTAACATAACTGAGTTCTGCTCATGAGCAGAACTCAGAACCCATTAACCAAGCATTGTCACAATTAAATCTATTAAAAGCATGAAGCAGAAAAATTGACATTCATCGCTTCTATTGTGGAAGATCCTTATGACAATTACAGTGGCTGGAAATTATGTCCTCGAGCAATACCTTGTTTCTCCATTTATGATAGCTTACCCGAAACCTCAGGATGCAACCCAAATAGTGCAGGACATTTTGTGTCAGGGCAGATCACTTTGTTTGCGCTCGACTATGGAAAGATAATATTTCAAATGAAGTGGAAACGTCGTAGCAATTTAATGTACAGTAGTGCTACTTTTTTGGATTAAAATAATATTCACATACTTCTATTATTCACCTCTTTGGAAGATGAAAATAAAGCACACTAGCCTATAGGTATCCACAAGGGCCTATAGACTGAAATTTAAGAATTTAAATATTTGAAATTGGAATTCTCTTAAATATCATACGTGTTACACTCAAAGAATTGAAGTGTAAAAAGTTTGCTTCACTCTTCTGACGGCAGTTCAATAACTTCAATAACTTCAATAACCGGGCGTTGTTTAGTCGCTTCAGGTTCGTTGCCAGTCAATATATGGCGGAGCCAAACCGTTTGTCGGTCCATAAACGAGCAGTCCGGAAAACTCGGATGTTGCCGGAACATGTGGTAAACGAAGAGAATTTCCTCCTTGCTCAGCTCTTGTGTGAACGTGTATACGTTAAAACCAGCCTACAATACAAAAAAAAAGACAGCGGGTATTAAAACTGTTCCTTCAAAACCAATGCAGCATTGCTTTCCCGAATTAAGAATTGATTATTTCAATTGTTTTTTAATGCTGCAGCAAAATTCAATCTCACACGCCGGCAAGAGTAGACGAATCTATGAATACATAATTATAATATTATCTATAGATAATTAAACATGATCATATAATTCGAGAGCACATGTTAATTAAGAAATCAATTGAAAATCTGCCCTTCCATCACCCAAACCAACTAGAAATTATTCAACAACGTATTTTCATGGGAAAAAATTGAACACCCTAAGTGAAGACAAGATCATAACACAATCCACCAACGACATGCAGAATAAGAAGAATAATTTTCTACGAATTTTTCATGGCTGTCAAGAAACATTGCTAGCAGTGAAAGATGATGAAGACGGAGAGCATTAATGAGAAAATTGCTCTGAGAAAGTATAGTTTAACCAAGTTAAAAGCAATATGCATCCACACGGCCCAGGAGCGAGATTATCTGGGGCGCGAGTGTGAAACTTCTTATCAAGCAATTACGATACTTTCTGACACCATAAAATTATTTATAAAGAAACGAGATTATTCAAACAATACTAAAAAGGCATCAACGTCTTCATAGTACTTTTCCTTCGCTTCGAGCAAAGAGTTAGTTAGTTAGTTTAGTGGCCAAATGTTTACTAGCGCTTCAGCTATTTAGCTATCTCGCACCGAAAGTCAAGATGAACATCACCATAGAGGTGGAAGGTCTCAATTATTCATCACCCACAAGGAGCGGAAGGTCTCAGTTGTCCAGCCCGCTGAAGCTGGCTCGAAAGAAGCAGCGTTAGCATCTCAAAGAGACGAAGTAACAAGGAGGGACAGGTGAAAAGCAACAGAAACTAAGACACTCGAACAAGAGGTCGCTTACACGGGACGTCGGCCGCCCGCACGAGAGAGACAGAGAAGGGAAATGTAAAGCCAGCATACAATACAAAGAAAAATAGCGGGTATTAAAACTGTTCCTTCAAAACCAATGCAGCATTGCTTTCCTGAATAAGGAATTGAGTATTTCAATTGTTTTTTAATGCTACAGCAAAATTCAATCTCACACGCCGGCAGGAGTAGACGAATCCATATATATATATAATTATAATATTATCTATAGACAATTAAACATGACCATATAATTCGAGAGCACATGCTAATTAAAAAATCAATTGAAAATCTGCCCTTCCATCACCCAAACCAACTAGAAATTATTCAACAACGTATTTTCATGGAAAAAAATTGAACACCCTAAGTGAAGACAAGATCTTCACACAATCCACCAACGACATGCAGAATAAGAATAGATTTCATACGAATTTTTCATGGCTGTCAAGAAACATTGCTAGTAGTGAAAGATGATGAAGACGGAGAGCATTATTGAGAAAATTAGTCTGAGAAAGTATAATTTAACCGAATTAAAAAGCAATATGCATCCACACGGCCCAGGAGCGATATAATCTGGGGCGCGAGTGCGAAACTTCTTATCAAGCAATTACGATACTTTCTGATACCATAAAATTATTTATTAAGAAACGAGATCATTTAAACAATACTAAAATGGCATCAAAGTCTTTATAGTACTTTTCCTTCGCTTCGAGCAAAGAAACAGAGGTGCAAAAACTCTCTTAAACGTGCACATCGCTAAAATGCGGGCATAGAAGCTGTTGTACAATTAACTTCTTACATCAATGAGTGAAACGCCGATGTCGGGCAACCATTTCTCCAGGGTGTCTATGAGCAAATTTCGTGAAGGTCTTTGCGACATTTGCATGAGAAAGTACATGAACACCTCACGCTCAGCTTTCGGAAACTGGAATAAGATGATCGGTCAGTTGCATGAATTGTATTAATTTGGCCTTCACTCACCATTGCAGTAAAGAATCAAGGAAAATTAGTTGATGTTCAAGCACGAAATAACATAACATCTTTAACCAGGAAATAGTTAAATTCATTCAAGAATACCTGGCTAACGTGTTGAATTCTATATATAGATGTAAGCATAAAAGCGTACTTAGAAAATTCTAACAAATTTTCTCAGAAACAAGTTATTCATGTGAACGAGTTTCTCTCAATGACTTATTACTAATGCACCACGAAACATAACATGTGGCTTACTTGATGCTTTGCTGGAAATATTTTCAACATTTTCACAAGAAGAAAATTCTCACTTTATTGCAAAAACTGGACTAGATTATAATCGGGGACAAGAGCAGGAATATTAGCCCTTCTAACCTCTGCGAAGAAGGCCCAGTTGGGTGCTATCCTGATGAGGTGATACAGCGACGTGTCGATCGAATGAATGTCAGGGGTCCTTGGCTTCAACAACGGATGAAAACCACTGCAGCATTCAGTTGCCAATCTATCCACTTTGAATAAGAAATGGTTTTGTAGTGAATGTTTGAAATTATTGTTGTGGTACTTGAAGGGGAAATTACTGAAGAACTGCTTGAAGAGCCTATCCGTTGTGTATAAATAAAAAGTAGGAAACGTTTTTTTCGAAAAAAGATATTTCAAGCATGGCGCAAAAAGCTAGTTTCGAGAAGAAGCTACGATCGTTTATAGCACCTACAATTTTAACGTTCGAGTGGCCCTGTTCGAGTTGTCCAGGAAAAAGATCCAGGAAATTTGTGATTGCTTCTCTGTTTTGCTGGTGCCGATGATAGAGGTAATACGAATAAAAATTAGCAAAGTTGAAGCCCGAAATGATAACGCGACCTTGTTTGATTTCTGCAAAGAGCTCTGCATGTCGCTAGCCGATTGCAAAACCATTCCCGGGGCTCGAAAAGAACCAAACTGTTTTTAGTTCTAGCGAGAAGCTCGCGGCTAACGAACCCAAAGCCTGGATTGATCTCCAGGATTTCATCATCAGCTCTCAGGTCATCAATTAGAGCAGAAACTAAAGTAGACGCAGGAGACATTTCGACAACGGTACATCGCGAGCTGACTTTTCCCTGACGAATGCCCTCAGCACAATCTGCGATGACTCCTTTAGCTCGAGCACTGAACTCGATATATAGGATCGTTCCTCGGTGGCCGATTTCTACTCAAGAACCGCTTGGAGAACCTTGACTTGGCATAGGATGCGTCGTGGCCTGCACCGGTTCTTGATAATGTCAAGTTAGCGTTTGCATATTTATGGAGAAAACGTTTAGGCACGAAAAAAATATGAGGAAGAAAACACGCATTACTATTCCGTCTTTCGTTCTCAATTGCATAGAGATTACTAAGTGAGGTACACCTAAAAATAATTGAGAGGGAAGGATGAAAACATTTTGTACCTCTCAACAGTGGGATAGACAGAAAAGTAGCTGTGCCTAATTCGGTGACGAGAGGCATTGCTCGTGTACACACTACCTAGTCCTTCACTATTTCGCAGCAAGCTCTGAAAAAAAAAGATTTATTTCATCTGAGAATGCATCTAATAGACATAGGCGCTTAGGAGTAATTGTTTGAAAAGTATTGAGCAATTCAGTATTAAAAATCGTCATGTACGTAACCCGAGACCAGAATTTTGTAACGAGCCAAAAAGTAGGACCCAGTGTTTTTTTTTATATTATAACTTAGCAAATACACCTCATAACCGAATATTTGTGTCATGAGTGTAGAAGTCGAGGTTTTATTACTATGCTATGTGACGTCCTAGACACTGAGATGACAGTTTACGTGTCGTAAGAACGAAACGCTAACTAATGAGTGGCGAAACCACCGCGTCTTTAAAAATATTAGCCGCTTTAATAAATGGAAAGCCATCAGTAGCTGACAACAGGTGGTTACAGTATACTCATAATAACTTCACTATATCCACCACACCCTATAAGATGTCACTGGAAAAAATCGAGCCCATTGTTATACATCACCATAGTCATAGACAGCTAAATTCAGGTGAATGTAGAACATACATCAGGATGTGGTGAAAATTTTGCCCCTAGACACTTGTAAAATTACGCTTCAAACGCCAAAAATACTTCATATAAGTCAGCGGTTCCCAAACTTTTTCAGGCTGGCGCCCCCTTTGGCTCCCTAGTGAACTTCTAGCGCCCCCCACAGACACATATAAAAACATACGCCTCTTTCTTGAAATTTAGTACGCTGCAATTTTAATAGATAAATGTTAAACACAAATCTGTATTTCACAAATAGAACCCCATTTAGTGAACCAATATGTTTTTAAGCTGTTTTAACTGTTTTAGCACTAGAAACCTATAGGACGTCTCGGGCAAATTCACGGCCGGACTCGTGGCCAGTTGCACGACCAGTCTCCAAATTCAATTATCAAGTAATATCTCCCAAACTAATGAACGCAGCTCAAGGAAACTTGGAACGTATATTCATCAGAACCTAACGTTGATTTTTAGCTCGTAAAAATTTCTAAATTTCACCTTCATTCGTGAGTAGTATTGCGATAAAGGCCGAAATTCGCAGTGATCAAAGAATTTTCTCCAAACGACTGAACAGATTTGAACGAAATTTTGAATATACATTCCTATCTACCAAACGGTGATTTTTTTGGCTTTTAGAAATTTTCGATTTTACCTTCGTATCCGAGTTTTTTTCTCATTTCACAGTCATTCTGGATTTCACACTTCCTTATATACGGCCCGTATCGCCGGATAATTTGTCGCTTAAATTCGCGGCGATCAAGAAATTTCTTCAGAACTACTGAACAGATTTCAACGAAACTTTGTATATAAATACCAAGCCTCCCAACCGTGATGTTTAGCTCGTGACAATTTTTCTATTTTGTTTTCGTTCGCGAGTTATACAGATGAAGGAGGAATGACCGGCTTTTCTACCGGCCGGTTTAACCAAGAGCCGTTTACGTATATCCGGTATACGTATAGCCGTATAACTCGCAAACGAAGGCAAAACTAAAAAATTGTAGCGAGCTAAACATCACCATTGCTGAGGTTAGGTATTTATATACGAAGTTTCGTTCGAATCCATTCAGTAGTTTTGGAAGGAATTTCTTGATTACTGCGAATTTTAGCACGTATTGCTGTTTAAATCACGAATGAAGGTGAAATGGAAAAAAACTCGCGAACAAAGGAGCAATCGAATTAATTTTCAAGAGCTAAACATTAACTTTCGGTAGTTCGGATAGTAAATTCAAAATTTCGTTGGAATCTGCTCAATAGTTTGGAAAAAATTTATTGATTACCGGGTACTATGAATTTCGGCCCGTATTGCCATATCACTATGGCAAAAACGAATGAAGGCAAAATTAATAAAAAATTCACGAGCTTAACATTACCGGTAGGTCCTATTGAACACGTGTACCAAGTTTCATCAAGTTAAGTTCATTAGTTTGAGAGGTATTACTTGAACATTGAATTGGAAATTGGCCGTGAGACCGGCCGCGAGTCCGGCCGGTAATTTGTCCGAGACGTAAACCCAGGAGAGGTTAATTAAAAAAACAGATCTGGGTGAAAAAACCATCGCTGGGGGTCATGATGTGCTGCACGTATTGTGTACAATTCGTCAATCAAACGTTTGAACTTCTGACTTCGACTTCGGACTACCGCCCCCCTATCGCCCCCCAAACGCCCTCTTCTTCCTTACCGCCCCCCAAAATCTTTCCATCGCCCCTAGGGGGGCGATATCGCCCACTTTGGGAACCACTGATATAAGTGAATTACCTCATTATGCTCATTTCATGTTTAACTAAAACTTTCTTTCTACTTTGTCCCTATGTAAAATTAAGTCTAAATTCCGACAAGGCCACCAACATCCCACCATTGGTACCTTATACACTCGTGTTTCAACTTTCTCGTGTTTCAAATTTGAAGCTGCGCAGGCAACCCAAGGAACGCAAGTTCCCTTGAACGCTATCAGAGCGTTCCCTTGAGGTCAGTGCATGTATTCCCTTGAATGAAATAGCGACTAAATTGTCTGCCAAAGAACTTCTAAAAGGAATTAAAAGTATTTCAAATTAAACTACAGGTTCACGAGTAGCCCTTTAATCATCACACATATCTTTGTTGCAGTATTTGAAGAGACCAGGTTGGAGCTCCTTGTTCATTGCAGCATCGGCTTTTTTTCGATTAGCCTTAATGATAAGCTTTTCCGGTACCTTCTTTTCTTTTACTTCGGCTTCTTTCTTAGCTTGTTGCTGTTGAAGATCTTTTAATCTTTTCTTCCGTCTGTTAATTTTATCGTCTTTTATTTGAAGAGAATCATCAGTTTCCTTAGGCTTTCTTTCTTTGACTGGTCTTGGAATTCGCTCCACAGTTTTTGGAGTCACATTATTTTCAGTCACATCAACTTTTACGCGTTTCAACTTCAATTCCTTTTCCATTTCTTTGAGTTTCGCTAGCGCCGCTTTCTTACACTTCTTACTGAGCTTACGACTTTGGCGCTTCTTGCGGTTGAGGGCAGTTTTAGAGGCCCGGATCTCCTTGGCCTTGCGCAATATATCGGCTTCAGCCTCCTCCTCCCGCTTACGTTTCTGCGGCAATCGTTCATCGACATCCATATCAGGATCGTCCTCATCGATCCTTTTAGCGTTAGGTTTGAACAAGTCATCGATGGACTCAGTGACGCCGTCATGCAGGCTTTTACTTGCGTTGGTGTAGGCCTCAGCCATCTTGCGCGCTCTGGCACCGGCTGGGGTGGTTACGTCCGACAGTTCTTGCTTTTTCGCCTCCTTCTTCTCCTTGCGTGTCACTTGACGTTGACGCTTTCTGTCCTTCCGATCCTTCAGTATTGATAGTCTGCAAAGATTTACATGCATTAACTGTAATATTGTTACAGAATATTTAACCCATAGCGCTAACAAGAGAAATTAACCCCAAGTTTCAACGTTTTATTTAGATAATATCGAGATTTGTTTTAGAAACAGTTAATGCACGAACTAAATAAATATGAAATACTAGAAACAATCAATACAAGAATAAATTGAAGCATCGAAAACCATCCTAAACTACAATAATTGCATAATATGAACATGGATAAAATTGTGCTCGGTGACAAATTAAAATTGGTGAGCATAATGGTTCTGAAACTATAATTAGTCAACTATAAAGATAGAGAAAAGCTAATCAGAACTTACGCATAAGGACACTGAGAGCGTAAGCTGGTGTCGAGGAGTTTTTTCAGTTCCATTTTGACTCCCTTGCCGCCTTGCTGCGTTCTGCTCATACGAACGCGATATTGGAACAGCGTCTTGCAGAGCGCCTCCCAGTCCACGCACGCTTTACCGCATGGATACTGAAAATGAGCAGCTTGATAAAGAGCAGCTTATTTACAGCTATCGTCTAGAGAAAACGGAGCACGAGTAAGAGAATTCTCTAAATAAGTAACCATTGTTACTTACTTGGAGTAACAACAGTAACAGTACTTACTAAGAGTAAGAGTACTTACTAAGAGTAACAGTAATCATTGTTACTCTTACACATTTCCAAATTAGAAAAATGCGATTGTTAAACGATTAGTCTCAAGTTGTTGAATTGCCGCCTCAGGCCAAACGAGTATAGCCAAATATATTTCCAGGAAATATATATGCCAGCGAAGGCATTTTTCAGCATTATTACATTTTTTATCTACTATTATAAACAATAACAAAGGATTAGGGGCATAAATTATGTCAGAAATTTTACACACGAGAGATCTTCGGAGAATAGTTCAACACTATAAACGATAGGTACAACAAATAATCGAATGAAATTTTTTTGAACGATTTTCAGAATCTTTAGTCTAAACACTAGTGAGTATTCAAGTTTGAAGAATTATAACACTTTGATATCGGTGGTCGTCGTCTCTACTTTTCCTCGGAAGGAAATAGTCTTTGAAGCGGAAAATAGAATTCCATGTTAATCCACCAACAACGAAGAAGATGTAAATTGTTGGCCAACAGTCAGTGAAGAATGAACGTGACTCACCCGTAGTATGATCTTCAAGACGAAATTAATGATTGCGACGTCCTTCAGTTTAGGCTGGGTGCACGTCTCGGTGAACTGCGGGATGGAAAAAAATCAAACACGTTATTTCAAGACAAAAAATTATTCAGCCGACCATCTTCATTTTTACCTCGCTAACTCAACTGAAATCGCTTTTTTAGTGGAAACAAACGGCAAACCAAGTTGGTTCTCCTGCAACAAACGAAGATATTAAAGTTGAACAGAGTACCCACAAAGGCTGGATTTAAAACTTTTGTCTATGAATTAAATATCATCCCGTAAATCTGTTATGATAAAGAAACGATAGTGAAACCAACAACTTTGGCAACGGAGGAAAGATCAAACAATTAATTGATTCTTATGCCTATAAAATTATTGTAATTTTATTGAAAAATGGGAAAAAATTAGACTCGTGTCATAGCTAACTTAACAACAATGCTTCGCTCATGTGATATGTCATAACTAACTTAACAACAGAATTGAAGTACTACAAATTAGACAAGAGGTGAGGAGTCAGGAGCCTCAGTCTGATATCGGGATTACCTTGACGATGTGTTTGACGACCTCCTCAACTGTCCATCGTTCATCCTCCGTCAGCTCGTCCACGTTGGGTAAAATACGGGAGTAAAGGGCCTCCAGGAACAGCCAAACGCTTGTCATCTTGCCGTCCAAAACAGGATAATTGTTGGGATATTCTTTCTTTTTCTCGAATATTCTTCGGCACTTGACCTTAAAGTCTTCCTCGTCCTCTTCTTCTTCAACGACTGGCGAGAATATTTCCTCAACAAGACCTCGGCAGAGGCCGGTCCTCAGTTCTGGGATTTCAAGAAATAGCGGCTCCAGCACCATCGTTCCTTCCACGTTTCTGGAACAGTTATGGAACTTGAAGCAGGTGCGAAAAGCATCTCGCAACGGTCTACTAATTATTTAGTAACATTATTTCTTGTTACTGAGACTATAGTAAAGGGTTCTCGTAGTCCATTAGTCATTGCAAGTTCAGAACAAAGAATTTTTTTCGAATATATATCACTTGTTTGCTTAAATCGCAAATTAACTAAGAATTTAAAAGCAAAGAAAAGTCCACAAAAATTCATATCTTTATAGAAAACGTTTCGGAGACCAGCTCCATCGTCAGTTCGTAGAATCAGATACTTCCCAAATGTCAATCTTCATATTGTGCTTGTAAACAATTTCACAATCGGTTCTTTCTTTAGATATAAAGATATGCTCCCTGTTCATATGTGATCGTCCCTGGTTTATCAATATTATTGTGCACGATGTGCATCTGCGTACGTCGGGATGACGTCACGCAATCTTTATTCCAGGGTCTCTGAGCATAAGGGCAGGAGTGGTAGAACCGGACAGTTGCTATCGCGCCCACCTCATTCGGCTGTGCGCGCTCACGCCGAGCAGTGTGATGTCCCCGTTTCTGACAGTGACTTAAGGGTGTTAGCTTCCACTTCCGGGACTTCCGATTTGCGCATTTTAGAATCGCTGTACATCTTTAAACTTAGGCCCAATTTGAATTCAGCTGCTAGCTCCTATCCCCTTGAAATTGTTAATAGATATTTGTCACAAGACGACTTATGTGTGATAATAAGATGGGATTTCTCGCTTCGCTTAAATAAATTGTCAACTGAGAATTCGTACAGACTATAAATTACAGACAAATACTAATACAAATATTTTTCAAAAACTCACGGATTGCGTATGAAGTTCTTGGCGTGGCCAATGTATGCCGGGATGATGGGGTTGTCGACAATACCTTTTTCGCGGCAGAAATGAGCTGAGCAACGGATAAGTGTCACAAAGCCGTGCTTCGCCTCCGGAACTACATAAAAGAAACCAGATAATCAACATCAGGAATAATACAAACATTTAAGGTAGGTTCAACATAGGTCAATAAAACGCAGTGCGATTTATCAGAATGACTAATTTCTCAGTGCCGTGGCAAGTTAATTATGGCGTCAATCAGCACACTTCAAAACCAATTTTCATTAATACGAAGTAATTCAGCAAACTTCAAGAATTCTGAACGTGACAACTGACAAGCATACAGAACATTTAACTTCACCAGCAACACTGCTTTGAGAGTCTTACGACAATGCGCACAAATTTTCGTATTTGGAGTCCTAATGTTACTAGTGGACGAGTGGACAATAACAAGTACTACGCACACTTCGATTAATTTACAGCATCTAAAGTTTAAAGAAAATTATGTACGCTATTGCTCACTGCATTACCACAAGGATAGAAAAGGTCCAAAATATAAATAAGTTGCAGTTTCTTACCGACTTTCGCGACATCAAAAAACTCCGCCAGACACTCCTGGAATGTTTCGAAGCTCATGTCTCCAACGTTGATATATTTCTTCTTCTCACGGATGTGCTGGATGGCTTTCCTGCAACGCAGACGAACTTCATAAAACTGAACACGCAGGCAACATGACGGCACAAATACATTTTAGTCTCGAACTAAGTAGAATGAATGTCTTCTGAGGCGAAGGAACAATAGCTTCAAGTGTTTGAATAGGGCATTACAATTTACCAAAATGCATTGATTGCTAATAAATAGAACAACAATATGAAAGACAGAAAGAGCAAATTTGAGAATTCATTAAATGATGGGGGCTACAGATGGTGGTGAATAGAAAACACATTTTATGCAGAGTAAATTAACAATTATAAATGTCAAACGTTCGTCGGTGAGTTATTTAAATTTTCCAGGACACATTGGAACAAATCTCAAGGAGCATCAGAAGATAACCCCAGGTTTGCTTTTCAATTCCAGAAATTGAATTCAAGTTCAGTATTACTTGAAAAAAGTTCGACTAAGTTAGCAAGAGGCAGACACAAAGTCAGTTTGAGCAATAATAACGGATAAAAAGGTGAGAAATATTAAAAAATCTTGCTCGTAAGTACAGAAAAAGTGTAATAAGCAAGAAATGATGGTGGGTTAGCAACGCTGTCATACCTGATCCTGTTGTTGAGGTCCGTCATGCGCTCTTCCGCGTGTAGCGCCATCGTCTGCAGCAGCGGCAACATGAGCTCACGGAGCAGCAGCTCGCACGGCAGCGGCCCGTCTATCAGACCCTCCACGATGTCCAGGGCTCTGTAAACCAGAGAACTTTATGATACGATGTCCAGGGCTCTGTAAACCAGAGAACTTTATGATACGATGTCCAGGGCTCTGTAAACCAGAGAACTTTATGATACGATGTCCNCTTATACACATCTAGATGTGTATAAGAGACAGGTCCAGGGCTCTATAAACCAGAGAACTTTATGATACAATGTCCAGGGCTCTGTAAACCAGAGAACTTTATGATACGATGTCCAGCGCTCTGCAAACCAAACCTAGTACTATATAAGAGCCCATTCCCGAGCAGGGAGAACTGAGGTTGAAGCTCTGGTGCGTACGGATCCTGATATAAGTCCAGGGCTCTTTGACCGGATGTCTGCCATCATGGACGCTGTCTCAGACTGGATGCGCTCCAACCGGCTCCAGCTGAATGCATCAAAATCAGACTTTATTTGGTTTGCAACTGCTCGGCGCCAGCATCAACTTCCAGCTAACCGTTTGCGTGGGCAACGAGTTCGTCTCGCTTGCGTTTTCGGTTCGCAACCTCGGCATTCTACTGGACTCGTAGAACTTCCTATGAACAATCACATTGCCAAAGTCACTACCGTTTGTTTTGACGTTCTGTGACGAATACGTAGCGTCTGCTATTGTCTCTTGAGGCCCTCGTGGTTTCGCTAGTTCAGAACCGATTGGACTATGGTAATGCCACATTCTATGGACTTCCGATCACGGCACTCAAGAAACTGCAACTCGTGTTCAATAAGCGAAAATTCGACCAAGGGACGCCGATTTTGCGTGATCTGCACTGGCTGCGCATGCAGCAGCGCAAGCTGTTCAAGGTCGCTGTTCTGACGTTCCGATTCCTTCACGGCCTGGCGCCTCCTTATCTCATGGAAGGTCTGAAGCGTGTGTCGGATCTGCCTTCTAGAAGACGATTGAGCTCGTTATCAAAACGGACCTCGTCGTACCATCTACGTCTATCTACCGTCGGCGACAGAGCGTTTCCGGTCGCCGCAGACAGGACCTGGAACGCTTCTTTGCAGGTGTTTCGTCGACGCCTAAAAAAAGAACTATTTTTTCGAGACTATGAATCAAGTGCTTAGTCTCCGTTCCCATCCTTCCTCGGGTCTATTTATTTATCGCTTGCTATTAAACTCACGTGTAACGTGCCCCCGAACTTCGTTTGAACCAGACGCCACGATAACTACGTACTTCGTCGCATAACAACAATAAGTAGGTACATTAATCAAATTGATCTGATTAGGCATAATAAAACTGACGAGGCAAAATTAAATTGAGTAAGATAAAATGTATATGTTAAAAATTACAAGGAACGGTGCATTGGAAATTCGGTTGTTCAATCAAATAGTATAAATAATTTTTTTCTGACGTTTCTTGGGCACAAAAATAATGAATTCAAAAAGAATTACTTGCTAACATACGTCTCTTTAACTTTTCTATGGAAAGAGAACAGAATTAAGTCATTCCACAAAATTATACGATGATAAGAAGCCGAACATCTTCGTGAGTAGAAGAGAACATCATGAATGTTCTCTATCCACACCTAGTGAATGGTATAACAAAATATATAATAGAATACAGTACATAACAGTACGGTATACAGTACCTAAAGTATACAGTGCATAGCATTATACATTAAACAGCATTATACAGTACACAGCATAATACAGTACACAGCATTATACAGTACACATCATAATACAGTACACATCATAATACAGTACAAGCATTATACAGTACATAACAGAATACAGTACATAACAGAATACAGTACATGACAGTATACAGTACATAACAATGTACAGTACGTAACAAAACATTGCACAGCTCCATACCTGTTCCTAAACTGCACGATGTCGGCAGTGACGCCGCTGAGGGCGTTAGGGTTGTTGTTGGTCTTCTTCTTGATGTAGGATCCGAGCACAGCACCGAGCTGAATGTTGAGCGCCCGTAGCTCTTCAGGGGGAACTTTGTCCATGTCCTCCTCTACTGCGTCGTCTGGGCCCTGGACAACAAACAAACCAGTCATAACATCGGCACTTTTCCCCTTCAGAATTAAAGCATACGTAGGTCGCGATGCGCACATGGCGTTATTTTAGAAATTGAAGAAAAAAACAACATGCCCAATAACGTACGTTATTGGTACGTGTTATATACCAATCACCGAACTGTTAATATCAATCATCACCGAACTAATAATATGGATGAAGCACGTCTAAACCTTTGCTGCTAGAAATCGGAAAGTTTCAGAATTGACAGGTGAACACAGACCACAAAAATCTAACCGCTTAATTCGAAGATTCTACCTCATGCGATTCGTTCTCAGGTCGCCTAGTGATCAAATAATAATAGTCATCACAAAATCATGACTTGACTTAACATGCAACAAGATAAACGTCAAAACCACGTGTTCGCAAGTAATGGAAACGTAAACACTTACACTCTCAAGGATTATCTTGAGACTCACATTGAAAACTGAAAGCAAATCTACGACAGCAAAGAAAATTCACGCTAGGAAACAATGAATCCTCATATTATTCCTGACACTTGAACGTAACTTACCGTCGGTCCAAGGACTCTGAACAAGGCGCTCTTCATCTCGTCTAACTTTGACTGCTTCATGGAGGTTTCCAACTCAACTTCCTCCTCCTCATCGTCATCGTCTTCCTCGTCCTGGCTGTCATCATCGTCTTCACCGTCTTCTTCTTCCTCATCATCGCTGTCGTCTGAGTAAATATCGTTAACGTCGGGATCGTCTTGTGATTTTTTGAGATTAATTTTGCCCCGATTTTTGTGTTTGTTCGCAAGAACCGTGGCACTATCAGCTCCATCGTCAACATCGTCATCTTCTTCGTCATCCAAGCCACTGTCTTCAGACTCATCACCACCTGATGAATCGTAATCTTCGTCGCTCTCTTCATCATCTTGCTTCTTTTTCGAAGATGATGTGGAAACTTTTTCATTATCCCCGCTTGCAATATCGTCACTTTCGTTATCACTTTCCTTGTCCTCTTCTTCTTGAGCCTTCTCTTGGTCCTGTACTTCGTCATCATCGTCTTGTCCCGTCTTCTTATTGGACTGTACGAGGTCCTCATTGAAGAGCACTTCCGTCACGCACGACAGCAGCTCCGAAGTCATGCGCCCCGCAAGCAGACTGAAAGACAACGCACAGATCAGGACAAAGCAGCACTCGAAATAACATATTTTCAATAGCCGAACAGGAATTAGGTGACTTAGCACTTTTAATAGTTGGGAAATTCTTAGCAAAAGAATGGGAATATTTCACTAGCCGAACAATAAGTAGGTTGCCTGGCACTTTAATTAGCTGGAAAATTATTAGCGAAAGAATGGGAGAAGCACTTTAAGTAGCTGGAAAATTCTTAGCAAATGAATGGAAGAACATTTAGCCAGGGCTGAGTGATCTGTTTAAGCTCTCAGGGGCCCCAACGATTTTCTCTGCAGCCACTGCTTTAGGAAATTATAAACCAAGCGTCGCAGATTGACCGAGGGTGACAAGATGGCAGGTTAACTCGAGGCTAAGTCAACCGAGGCCCACTTGTTGAGTCTAAATCCAGTGGATCAAGGGATGATGACTTTAATAAAGAGATCTTATGACAAAAATCTACATGAAACTTTGAAAATTTACAACGCAGAAACTTCACAAGTTGCGTCCTAGACGAAAATACAATCTCATAACACAGCTGAAATTTAAACCTTTGTCGGCTGCCTGGACTGCTACTGGGTCTTACTTATAGAATAGTATCAACTATTATTATTCTATAAAGTAAATTATTAAATTATCCTTCCTAATAATAATAACTAAATATTATTAGGTATAAAATTAAACGGCTTCATGCAATAGTTACCAGGCGTTTAGATAGAAAAGCACAAAGGATGATAACAACACTAGTGTTAACTTTTGCATGTATGTGTAACTTTTAGTATCTTTTATGTAATCAAGTGTTAACTCTTTGTGTCAGACGGTAAGTCGAAGTACAAAGCCTAAAGGTTATAACCGTATTGAGGACGGTTAATTTATCCGTAAACTGAAGGTTAAGAAGCGTTCGGTACTCACAAGGCAGTGGGCTTGAGGCTAACTCTCCACCAGGATTCGCCCCGCGTACACAGGGCCAGCAACACGTCCACCAGCACCCCCAGCCACTTGCTCTCCCCACCACACGGCAGCAACACTCCATCCTCCTCTTCATCGCTGCCGCAACGCTTTTCGGTCTCCTCACTTCCAGCTTCGTTTTCTCTCTCCTCGCATTTGCTATTATCATCAATATCATCTATCTGTTCATCACCAGAGACTTCGCCCACTTTTGTTAATTGTTCCTCAGTTTCATCAGTGGTTTTTTCGTTGTCGGTATCATGGTCGTTTTCATTGGTTGAATCATCTACATCACTAGCATCATTTTTGGAAGAGAAATCAGGCATAACCGGCGCCTCTTGTCCAGGTAGAGGAATTAGGTTCGCATCGCCTTCTTCTTCTTTCATCTGACGCTGCATTTCTCTCTTCTTGCGGCGTCTGATTCGTTGTTCTTCCTTCTCCCATTCTTTGGTCTTCTCCTCGTACTCCTGCAGGAGCTGCTCGCCCTTCTCTTGTTGTGTCATCACATCCACGTGTCCCTCCTCGTCCAGGTACTGCTGGATGCACGGGATGAAATCCTGGATGATGTCCTCAGTATCGCGTGCGCACTTCAACAGAAGTTCCAGGCCAAGTTGACTGAGGATAACCTGTGCAAATAAAGATGTATGATGGAAAAAATATAACTCAGTACTCACTGCAGTGAGTGACAGAGAGCGCATTTTCTCGTCGACGAAAACGTGAAGTCACGGACAGACAGACGTACGGACAGACGGACATGGCGAGCACAATAGTGCATTTTTTCCAGAAATGAGAAAATGCACTAAAAAGAAGCACAATTTAAAAGCAATGCGTCGCCATCGGGTCCTTCTTGGACTCATTTCCTTGAAATAAGTCAACATTCTCACCACAAACATATATAAACTTTTTCGGTGTACAAAATACAATCTGACAACTAACCTGAAGTAAGAATCGAAGTTTGGCGGACTTTTGAGTGCCCTTATAAAGGATCTGCATGTAGGTATTGAGCTTCTTAAAGCAGTCGTAGCGCTCAGAATCCAGCCTCAGAAACTCGGGATCTTTCTTAATCTCTTCGGCCGCGGTGTTGAAGGCGCTGATGAGTATGTGGAAGATCGTCTCGTGGTCTTGTGAAGCGTGTACCAAAAATCTGTAATTAGGGAAACGGAGGAAGGGTTTTTACTCCAGTGAATAAGAGATTTAATATTATTGAAATCACTTTCTAGCCTTTCAAACACTATCCCCGATTTTTGAACAATTTCATACTATATACAAATCGGGGAATTATTCAATAAATTAGCAAAAATCCACATTGAAATTTTCTAATATTTTTCTGAAAATTAAATTACCAAAATTTACTTCACTCTGAAGTAGAGTTAATTCATTCTTTGCATTTTCTGGTAAGAACTGAATACATATTTCACAAAAAAATGCAAAAACCAAGAAGTGTTAACGATCATAAATGTGATGTTTTTCAACAAATTATTTAAAAACGGGACAAGCACGACGTGAGGAACGACCAATATTACGAAATAAAATCATCGAGAAATCACCTGAAGAAAAGCTGCGTGCTATCCAGATCTTTGCTCTGGAAGGCTCTCCTGTTGCCTTTGGACATGATTGGTTTTTCTGTAAACTGCGCAAGTGGCTGCTCCCAAGGTGCCTTCTGGGTCTCATCTGCTGTAGCATCGCCCTCATGTTCTCCTTGAGCCATCTTCTCAGTACCTGCTTCAGCTTCTTGAGCCATCTTCTCAGCCCCTGCTTCAGCTTCTTCAGCCGTCTTCTCAGCCCCTGCTTCTCCTTGTGTTGCTTCATCTGCACCAGTAGCAGCGGCAGCGGCAGCTTGCTTTGCTTTGGCAGCCTCAGCGATCTCGGTCATTTCTTGGACGTAAATGTGTTGTCGTTTACAGCTGTCCGTCCAACGCAGGGCACGTCGCGCTAGTCCCTCCGCTACCTGCTGGCGCCACATTTTGCTGTCGTCGCCGCAGCACTGCGGCAGCGTCACCAGCTTCAGCATCAGGCCAGACTCTCGCTCGCTCAGACGCTGCACAAAAAAAACAGTTTGTAAGAGCATAATTACAGCACTCGAATTATAGATTTAAATCTAACAAATACTTTCCAGGATTTTTAAAAGATGATGCAAGGTCAATCTTTCTAATTTAATCGAATCTTAGAAATTTTTCATAGCCAATATTATTGTAAGACACTAAAACTCAAAGAAATTCAAGCTGCTGTCAGTCCAGCTTATTGACTTTTAACTGATTTATTTTCCGAGATATTCATCCAATGCCAACAAAAAAATTCCGTACCATCGTGCCTGCTCCCAGTGCTGGTTGCCATACCTGCCCCCAGTGCTGGTTGACATACCTGCCCCCAGTGCTGGTTGACATACCTGCCCCAAGTGCTGGTTGACATACCTGCCCCCAGTGCTGGTTGCCATACCTGCCCCCAGTGCTGGTTGACCGCGTTGTTAACGCAGTTGTGCGCGTGTTCCTGGTTGAGTTCCTTGAGTCGCTCCTGGGCGATGTGGCGCAGCTTGGGCACCACCAGCGACCCCTGAAGCACGCACAGCGCCAGTCGCGATCTGAGAAGAAGTATCGAGCATTAAGATATGTATGCCATAATTATTTCTGAATTACGGTATTTTAGTAATGGCATCAACTAACTAATTTAGGTACATCTGGTTGGCACTCAGATGAAAAAATAAATAAAAGCAACACCAACAATACGGTATGACCACAAGAAGCCACAAAGGTACCGACTTCATGTAAAGATCAGGCTAATCAGCTACTAATTGACAGGCTCACGCTGTTAACTCAAGACTACATGAGCTTACAAAGTAGAATGAATGAAGCAGTCACGTCATTAGGATAACGCCGACTTATAAGATTCACGTAACGCAAACCATGCAATGTAGTTGACCTAAATTGTCGTGGATTTAAGCCGTGTCAATCTAAAATTGATCCGAGACGAAGAAGGGACCTCAGGTGATGAGTTCCTTCAAAGAATGATTTCACCAAAAGTTATTTAAAGTGTCAGTCTTAACTGATATGCTTACTATAGGGTAAACTACTTCTATCATCTTGGAAAATAGAGTTCAGCGTTACCGGGCAGTTAGCAGAAACTCAATGTTGAGGTTGCTCCAGTAAGTCATCACCGTGGCGTTTGCGGGACGTGTTCTTGAAACTTGCATTGTCCAGTACAATGGCACGGCATAATGAATCAACATTGTACAAAGTTATACCATAACACTTGAGGATTGAGAATATTTATTGTATTCAAATATTCAAACAATTATTCATATCGACTCAATCACTGCAATGCTATGTTATTGTTATTAGCTTAGCAATCCAATTTCAGGCCGAAACGGGTGGTTACGCATATTTGGCATGATTTTTTTATATAAAAATTGGATAGAAGGCTCATCAAAATTATGGTGCATTTAGTTTGGAATATTAATTCTAGGTATCATGTTTTTTTCGTTCGCCTCCCGTCATCTGTCTGATTATACCTGTGTAAATACCAGCAATTTAATGCAACAGCTGGGTATTTTACTAGGTAGTTGAATTCATTTAATAAAACATTAATATGAGTAGAGATCAGTTCTCTGCTTTTACATTTGTAGAAGAAGGCACATCTTGGCTCCTCCAAGACTTCCCAGACATGAATTGTCCTGAGCTCTTTATCTGCAGGCTCAAGAGCGGTTGTAGAGCCGCGCGCCCATCAAGAAAGAGTCGAAAATCGTCCAACTTTACTCTTGTTTGCCGTTATCTTTATCATGCCTTTGGCCAGGGCTCAACTTGGTTAACTTCATTTTTATTCTCAGTTTATACTAGTTTGCAACACCATCAAGATTCATGTTATAGGTCAACAGTAGCTTTAAATGTTAGGCTTATTAAATTACTTATCAGCCCATGGATAATTCATTTACCAGCTTAACATCTCGTTTTCATCGCCACCAATTTTTTAGTACATTTCGATCCTTAATATTTATCTTGAGAAATTGGTTTACAGCATTAATTGGCACCATTTCTCAACTAACAGACATTCAGAGTTAAGATATCTCAAGATATTATTCGACAATTTCTTCAGAAAAACATCGAGAGTCAACATTTCGTAATGAAAGTTTTGACACTTCAGCTAAAGAATTTGTAAAAATTTGAGAAGTGAGATAGTTCGTGTACTAAGTGCTCAGGTAGCCTAACTTTTAATGTTTTTACTTACCGTTCATAATCATTCTCAATGTTACAAAGTGCTCAGGTAACCTAACTTTTAATGTAATTACTCACCGTTCATAATCATTCTCAATGTTTTTGTAGGAAAGGATGAGGCGGCAGAGTGCCTGCTTGAGAGGACGCTTGTCCATCGTCAGGAAGAAGTTGAGGCCTTCACCGGCTACGCTCCACTGCACCACGCGCTCCATGGTGTCCAAGTCCAGCATTTGGCAAGACAAGATGCTCTGCATGAATATATAACATTAGAAATGGAAAACAAGCCAATCATCTTACACTAGAAATCCTGAATGTTTCAACAAATCGAATACCATCGTTTCTCTTGACAAAATTCCGGGTGTAGAAGCAGTGAGGATAAATCTAACCACAAATCAGGCAGGAATATATGAGAAGCAAAAAGTTTATTAGGTTATTTCCTGACCCGCAGATAAAGCATTAAAGGGAGAATATATATTAATTTAGTTTCTTTCACTAGGCAGATAATGTACAGAAAATCCACTTGAATCATAAATTTGCGGTGAACTAATTACACAAAGTTTTACATACAAGTTTAATAAGGACATTATCCATGCCGAGCATGCAACTGAAAACATGATAGGTACCTTCATATAATTCTCGTTCATGTTGGAGGAACATTAAAGTCAGACACGCACAATAAAATCCAATTTTGTGGTATATGTATAATATTAAAATTGATCTCACCATGAGTAGCCTGTAGGCAATCTCGAAGGTAGTTTTCTTGCCCGCCAAGCGGTAGCAGTTGATGATGGTTGGGGCGATCCTGTCCTTGAAGAAGACCAGCACGGGGCTGGGGATGGGCTGCAAGCCGAGCACGAGTTGCTGCTTGGAGCGCTGCTGGTAGTATGACGCCAGCAGGTCAATAAAGTTGGCAAATACAGGGTGGTTCGTCGCAAGCTTCTGGGACTTGGGTAGGAGGATCTCGCCAAAAGCGTCAACTTGTTTAGGAAGAAATGTGTCGTGCAGCCACACTGGGAGCTTCAGGCCCAAGGCCATCATGCGCTCAGCCAGCACCACTCTGAGCCACAGCATCGTGGGCTTCATGCTGCTGATGGGGCGGGCCAAGTCACCACTCATGCCCTCCACTATCAGGTGACTCACCACAGCAACCTTTGAGTCCTGAAGGCAACATATATAATGAGGAAAACATGAGTATAAGGGAAACATGTATAGGTACCTAACATGATATGAACTGAAATATGATACGCAAGGACAGCTAACAACATGACACGAGACAAGCTAGGAATCCCTTGCACAAACGTCATACCACGAACCAACCAATGATTCTCGAGTACAACGAGCGTCATGCCCTGAAACAAAATTAACTCTTTCCAATTTATAAATGTATTCTTAACAAAAAAAAAATAACACGGTGTAGAACGATATTCTTTTCAAGAGAGTTTTTCTACAACAAACTCTAGCACTGCAGCAGGTTTCACATCATTCCATAGACTGTTCCAAGACAAATCTTACCTCTTGTAAAGCAGTAATGAGGAAGAAGACCTCCATATCATCTTTATTGGAGGAGTGACGCACCAAGACAATCTCTGCAACGAGACGCTGCAGCACTCTTATGCTGACGTGCTGCAGTCCATACCTGAACACACACCCGATGCCCAACAGCTTGGCTTGTCTCTGGTACAACTTGCGCTGAAATTACAGTTAAGAGTCAGTCAGTTTTAACAATAATTTCAGTATATTTTTTGTCCCATAGTAATTTAACTAATGAGTAAGCGTTATGATTGTCTCTGGTACAACTTGCGCTGAAATTACAGTTAAGCATAAGTCAGTTTTAACAATAATTTAAGTTTCTTTTTTAGCACATAATAATTTAAATGATGAATAAGAGAATTAATGTGATTACTTTCCTGGTCTTCATCTGCATTTCAATAAACAATATAAATGCTCAAGCAACAGCACCCAGTGCAACATTTTCTTAGCACTGCTTCTAATCGAATGTATGTGGAGGTTAGCAATAATAATTCTATTGCTTCTAAAGATTCTAAATTATTTTTTGCCTGATATATTCTTTGATCTACTAATTGAGATATGCAAAAAATTATAATAATTCTATTACCAATAAAATAGAAATTGGCTCTTAAATTAAGAAAAAAAGCATGATAGTGTTTAAATTAAATTTACAGATATTTTTTTGGAATAGATTCAAAGCTTAAATGAGTTATTAATATTAAGCACTGCTCAACCAAAAGGATTGATGACAAACAGCATTGATAAATGCAAAAATTCATTCATGTAACATCACTACCAAGCTCAAGGTCAGAAATATGCCATAAATTCAACATTTCATTCATAACTCGGCTTGAAATCTAAAAAAACTGCAACAATCAGCATGTTGCTCTCATACAAATAATATTAGCATTGATATAGGTAAATAGCCAAATGACAACACTCCTCCATATAATAAATTATTACCATTAAAAAATGTGTAAATTACCCACATGAGGTAATTCATTCCAAGTTTGTTGATACCTGATCTAAAGAATTCACTCACAGGTTTGTTA